TCAACATCCTTAGCTATCAGGGAAACACCAATGACAACTTATGCTGGAGAGGATGTGTAGAGGAGTTTGCTGGTAATGCAAACTCGTACAGCCACTGTAGAAATCAGTATGGCAGGTCCTCGGGAAAATGGGAAACAGTCTACCACAAGATCCAGTAATTCCACTCTTAGGCATATACCCAAATGACCCACATCCATGCAACAAAGACATGTGTTCAAGTATGTTTGTAGCAGCATTATTTGTAATAGCCAGAACCTGGAAGCAACCTAAATGCCCCTAACCTGGTAACTTTTTAAAAATTTGTGTTGCTGGAACATTAAAATTTCACATTCTTCATGATCATCTTAGTTCCATTTGCCTTTCCCTTTCATTCTTTTCTCCTGTTCCTTAGACTGCCATTATCATGTTTATTTGTGCATTCCATAAATGTCCAGCTCTCTCGGGCAGTTCTGCTCATCAACTGCTGACCCAGCCCAGCCCCTCCACTGTGGTGTTTTATGTGTTCAAGGGCAATACTTACTATCTTCTCTATTCCCTTACTGACCTAACTCTGCTTGTGCTTCCCATCCCTGTAAATGGCATCACCCTGTCCTAGTTACTTACTCTGGGTTGGAACCCAGAGTATGTGCTCAATCCAAATTTTACTTTATTACTCTCTGAAATTTATTTTTAAAAGCAAATTAAATCATATTACAGGGAATATGAGTCTTATAATATTCTCATTTGTCTCTTTGTGATTATTATGAGCCTGTAAAGAACATGAGTTTCAATCAGGTCCTCCTTAAAAGTAGTCAAGCTACATTTTTGTTGTTGGTAGGGTAGTGTAAGTTATTTATCAGTTCAGTCTTTTCCAGGAGTTGACAATCAGACACCATTTGTTGTGTACCAATATACCAGACAACAAACAGCCTGACCACTTCTGTGACTAAATACCTGTAACCTTTTAATTCTCTCTCACTGCTCAAATTTCCTGATAGAATGTAAGGAGTACAGTTTTTCCTCCCGCCACCTGGTCTTGTCCTGCACCAGCCCCAAATAACACCCAGAGACTCTGTATATGATATAATTCTGTTGGCCAGTTACTAGTTTCTTATTGGCTAGCTCTGTGTTGATTATTAACCCATTTCTATCTATTTCCATGTGGTCTTACCAGCGAGAGGTGGCTGGTGGTTCTAATCTCTCCAGACTCTCCATGTTGACCCCTCCTTTCTACTTCCTATTTCCTCCTTATCTCCTAGCCCCTCCTATCTTCCTTTCCTATTAGCCAACAGTGCTTTATTCATTAACCAGCATGAGAAATATTTATAGAATGACACCTCCCATCATCTCCTCTTTTCTGTCTAAATAAAAAGGGTTTTAACCTTAACATAGCAAAATATATAACACAACAGTTATCAAATAAGAATCACAGTTAATATTTAGTCCATTAACATAGTAAGATTTGAAGAAAATATTCCATCATCTCTCCTATATTTGTGTTTAAAGTCTAAGTAACTTATCTTTAATACTAAGGAAAACTATAACCATAACTATCTGTCTTCAACTCCCTCAAAGACCACCGAAGGATAGTATATAAACTCTAGAAATGACAGAGACAACTCACTGCCTGGTCACCCGAAGTTCTTTTGTAATCTTCCATCTTCAGCCCATAGGCCATAGTGTGTCTGGCAGACTCTTTAGCAAAGCAGGAAACTTTAAACTGTCTTCTTGTATTGGCAGTTTGTCAGTCACTTTCCTCTGTGTCCTGCAGACTGTCTGGCAGACTCTTCCATGAAGCAGGGACTCTATAGCAATGTCCATCTTGAATCAGCAGTCACGTTTCTATGGGTCCTGCATGTCCAGTTTATATAGCACAAAGTCAAACAGTCCAGACAAGAGCAGTATCTTGTCCAAATGGCTAGTCTTGCCATATTGGAAGTAAACACCATAACGAGTTTCTTCAATGTCCATCTTCCTTTCTGATGCAGGTGGTGTTGCCAGGAGCAATTATGTCTCACTGTCAAGAAAAACCCTAAGCCATTTTAAATGCCATATTCTGTAGGTCTTTGAAATGCCTATCTATCTCAAATACATCTCTGTGTATCTTGAAAAACCTAACTAACTTAACTCTAAGCTTTGACTATCATAGGTAATTATCTATAATCTGTACTAAGTTATACACTACATTTCTAACTGAGCTATATAAACACAATACCTAAACAAAAGGAGAAATATAAACATCACAAAATTGACCTTACATTGTATCAATATAAGAAAATCCATTCCAAAACAAAGTATTCATATCTATACCATAATCCCTTTTTTACCTTTAAAAAGATATTGGTTGTGATCATTAACCATTTATAACCAACCCCATATAAATGAAAACAAATATTTATAAACAATATTTGGGAATTTGGGCATTGTTCTTTGCAAACTACTCCCTTCTGGTAAAGGGAGCTGTCATGGGGGAATCCTAAGAAGATACAGAAATCTTGGCTGTAGTCTGCAAGGCTGCTTTGTTCAGCTGTTTTGAATGTAGGATCACCAGGAACTCTGTTTCAGGGGGTCTGGCGTGATCAAACCACATTAGTCTGGAAGGAATCCATAGCTTTTTTATTTTCTGTGGAAACAAAAATAGAAATCCTTTTCCCCAGTAACTTGTCCTTAGACTTAAATTTTGGAGTCAAAGCATTTTTAAAATATATAAATTGAATTAATGCAGCAGCATTTCCTTTATCAGTTGTTGTTATTTTCTCATCAGTCAAACAATGCAGAGACAATACAATAGCATACAGTAACCAGATTCTCTCTGAGCTTTTCATCTTTACATGGCTTTATTATTACTCTGTTTATTTTACTTTTATTTTTTCATTTTTTGAGACAGGGTTTCTCTGTGTAACTTTTATCGGTTCTGGAATTCACTATGCATACCAGGTTTACTTTAAAATCAGAGATCTGCTTGCCTCTGTCTCCCGGTGCTGGGATTAAAGGTGTGTGCCACCACATCCAGTTCCTGTCTTTTTTAAACCATTTTTTTTTTATTCTCTCCCAAGCCTATGTATTTTTTAAAACACACTGTAAAGTTTTAGCGCTTTTTCTTAATGTGAATCTGTCTTTACTGTAAATCTTTTTATAGCCACAAGCCTTTTATCAGGTAAACAACAACATTTCTAAAATGAAAGTCTTTATTTTTTCTGCCACGGTTTATAAAAGATGGCGGTGGCTATTTTACCGCCAGTACTGAAAGCTGTGCTCACTGCCTTGGTCTGCGCTGCCATCCAGCAAGCATGCTGCCGGCTTGGAGATGTGGTCGCTGCCATTGCCATCTCTCATACACACTAATAAATTGTTAGCAGTGCTTCTTAAAAGCCATGCGGTTTTTTGCCGCTTATGCTGAGTCAGTAACCTTCCCTTAAAGGAGCCGTGCGAATATCTGCTTGTCTCTCGCAAAGCAGAGTTCAACCGAGAAAAAAATTCTGTTAGTAAGAAGACTTGCTTGTTTCTGTTCTTTTGTTTGTAAAACCCTTTTTAAAGCTTTTGTTATATTTTAAGTGTAAGTTCTTATTAGCCACATGGGCACCATTTGTAAGGTTTTTCCTCCCGCCACCTGGTCTTGTCCCGCCGCCACGCCAGCCCCAAATAACACACAGAGATTCTGTATATGATATAATTCTGTTGGCCAGTTACTAGTTTCTTATCGGCTAGCTCTGTGTTAATTATTAACCCATTTCTATGTATTTCCATGTTGTCTTACCAGCGAGAGGTGGCTGGTGGTTCTAGTCTCTCCAGACTCTCCATATTAACCCCTCCTTTCTACTTCCTATTTCCTCCTTATCTCCTAGCCTCTCCTATCTTCCTTTCCTCTTGGCCAACAGTGCTTTATTCATTAACCAGCGTGAGAAACATTTACAGAATGACATCTACCATCACTAGAAGGCAGCCAGGGTAGGCAGAATGTCTTCAAGTTACAATAAATGTAACTGATTCTATCCTATCACTCCACTGCTTAAAACTCTGGGTGATTTCCCATGGGCTTGAGGATAAAAACCTCAGATTCAGTAACATGCCCCAAACTCTGCCATCTCACCTAGAGTCAGGCTCTTCAAGGCTCTGGAAAGAGCCAAGCTCCCATGAGTCTTTGCATACAATTGGCTATGGCCAGAGTACTGTAATCCCTTTCAGTTTCTTTTTCTTCAGTTCTTACACTTACCACGTTTTCATTAGACAAGCTTTTGTCTTTTTAAAACTCCTATTCCAAGTCGATGCTCCTTTTTTTAGCTTGCTATTAGCGCCTCAATTTCAGTTTCTTTATAGAAATGCCGGATTTCATTTCTTCCCGTTTTAAATAAAATGACCTGCTTATGTGTAGGTAATAAAGTCGCCCAGGGCGCCCTAAATCCAGTTGTGCTTGATTAAGACCCAACTACCAAAGGCGTACACATTTTCTCATTCTGGAAGATTTTTTTTTTTTTTTGTATTTGCTTATGTATTTTATCGTGGCTCACCGATGTGGTATGGGAAACAAAGGTTTAGACAGAAAATATAATATTTCTCAAGACATTTTATATATCTCAGCCTTTTCCTTCTATAGGAGCTACAGGCAGATTGTTCAGACCTTAGGATTGACTACTTGAGCTGGGCTTCCCTTCCCACGTGTAATCGGTATAAATCTGCAAACAGGAGTGACATACTGAACTTACATGATTGCAGTAGTCGTTTATTCAGTGAACTTCTAATGTGTGTATCTAGTTTTGTTTCTGGGGCTAGAAATGATATCGCTGATGTAAAACGCTTAGCGACTATCTCTGTTACAGATCTTCACTGCTACTTGTTCTGCCAAAGCTGTGCGTTGACGTTGGCATGTGTCATAGAAGTTATGCTGTCACTATCCCCTCTAGGTCCCTGCTTGGCCAGCATCCCTTCAGAAGTAGATGCGCTCCCAACACCTAGCAGTGTGCGGCGTGGCCGCTCTTCCAATCACAACCGATAGGGGGCGCGCGGCGGGGCCACCTACCGCCTCGACCACGACATCTACGCTTGCGCCCCATTGACACCGCTTCCGCATCTCTCCTTCCAACCACCTTTCGCCCCGCCCCGCGCCTCAACGCTCCGCCTCCGTTGCCCCTAGCGTCTGTTTGTTGACTTCCGGGAGCGCAGTAGTGGTCGATGCCAAGAGGGTCGCTATGGGGGCACCGGGGGCTAGGGCAGTACCTTAGGCCCAATCGAGTCGCCCCTGCTGTCTTTCCGAAGCAGGCACAGATTCCCTTCACGGTTTTCGGCATGGCGGAGCCTGAGTCGTTGGTGCCGGGTGAGTCGCGCCCGGTTCATTGTGGCTGGCCAGGAGGGAGGGTCCGCGGGCGGGCGGGAGGCCAGGCCCCGCCTCCAGGCCGGCCCTGTTGGGGTACAGGCCGCAATCTGAGCCACTTCAGTGAGAGCAACCCTAGCCTTGCATCTGCGAATAAATAGCTTTGTTGGGACTGGGAGGAAGGGACTCGGAACTAGAGGAAGAGGGACCCTCTGTGTGTTTTTTAGTAAGCATTCCTTGAGTTTTCTCGGAGGTTGTGGCAGCCATTATTCTCTCACTGAGCTTCCCAAGGTCTCTACTTAACACTTAAGTTTATGGCTTGTCCTCAGGACTCACTTAGATACTGAATTCAGTAACGAGTGGGAGGACATGAAGAATGGAAGAAACAAACTAGACAAAGGAAACCCTTTTAACGATTGACTGTCCATCCTTAAACGTTAGTTTGACGTATGTAAAAATTATGACCCAGTATGGCTTCCGTACCCGGTACACAGGTAGACATTTCCAGAAGCAAAATTTACTACAATCCTTTGGAACGTAGCTGTTTAATAATCTGACAAAATGATGGTCATAACCCACTGAATTGATTTTCACATGCACTATAATGAGTCACCACTAACACTTTGAAAAATAACTAGTAATATTGGAACAGAATTATACATTTAAATATGTATTGCACTTTCTGCCATGCTCTTGCCTCAAACAGGATTTGGTTTTATGTTTCCAGGAGTTCATACCTTAGTAAGGGTACAGAAAAATAAAGTGACAATAGGCTTGACATTAGAAGCCAGCCAAAGAATAGAACAGGGCCAACAAACTCTGGTTCTGGGTTGGGGGAGTGCCTGAAGAGGTTTTCTAGGGAGCCAGACTGAAACAGTTAAATTATTTCTTGTAAAGAATTCTTGAATCTTTCTAGGCCCTGGCCTCCCAAGGCTCAGTTATTAAATTGGAACTGGTTTGCCTCACATTTGTTCTCAAATGGCTTAGCCCCTTGCACATCCACTGTGGTTTCTCAGAAAATTTCCCAGAATCTGGGTCTGGATTTCAATTTGGGGTGTGTGTATGGAAGGATAACACTGGGGAGTGTTAATGGATTTTTGGTCTTTTGAAATGGTGCTGTGTGCGTTTGTATAGTAACTGGGAAGTGTTAATAGATTTTTAGTATTTTCAAAATGGTGCTGTGTGTGTAAATAGTTACTGGGAAGTGTTAATGGATTTGTGGTCTTTTGAAAATAGAGCTCTGTGTGTGTGTGTGAGTGTGTGTATGTGTGTGTGTGTATGTGTGTATAAATGCTGGAAACAGTTAATGGATTTTTAGTCTTTTGAAAATAGTGGTGTGTGTGTGTGTGTGTGTGTGTGTGTGTGTGTGTGTGTGTGTGAATAGTCACTGAGAAGGGTTAATGGAGTTTTAGTCTTTTGAAAATGGTGGTGGTGTGTATGTGTGTGTGTGTGTGTGTGTGTGTGTGTGTAAATAGTTGCTGAGAGCTGTTAATGGATTCTTGGTCATTTGAAAATGGTCTGTATGTGTGTGTAAATATGTCTTAGGAAGTGTTAATGAATTTTTTCTGTCTTTTAAAAATGATGCTCTGTGTGTGTGTGTGTGTGTGTGTGTGTGTGTGAATAGTCACTGGGAAGGTTTAATGGAGTTTTAGTCTTTGAAAATAGTGGTGGTGGTGGTGTGTGTGTGTGTTTGTGTGTGTGTGTGTGTAAATAGTTGCTGAGAACTGTTAATGGATTCTTGGTCATTTGAAAATGGTCTGTATGTGTGTGTAAATATGTCTTAGGAAGTGTTAATGAATTTTTTCTGTCTTTTGAAAATGATGCTCTGTGTGTTTGTGTGTGTGTGTGTGTGTGTGTGTGTGTGAATAAGGGTTAATGGAGTTTTAGTCTTTTGAAAATGTTGGTGTGTGTGTGTGTGAATAGTCACTGGGAAGGGTTAATGGAGTTTTAGTCTTGAAAATGTTGGTGTGTGTGTGTGTGTGTGTGTGTGTGTGTGTGTGAATAGTCGCTGGGAAGGGTTAATTTAATTTTAGTCTTTTGAAAATGGTGGTGGTGGTGGTGTGTGTGTGTGTGTGTGTGTATGTGTGTAAATAGTTGCTGAGAACTGTTAATGGATTCTTGGTCATTTGAAAATGGTCTGTATGTGTGTGTAAATATGTCTTAGGAAGTGTTAATGAATTTTTTCTGTCTTTTGAAAATGATGTTCTCTCTCTCTCTCTCTCTCTCTCTCTCTCTCTCTCTCTGTGTATGTAAATAGTTACTCAGAAGTGTTAATGGATTTTTAGTGTTTTAAAATGGTGCTGGTCCAAAAACAGTTGGTGAATAGTCCTCAGATCAAGTAATGACAATTTAAGAATGTTAAATCTCAACATCCATCTCCATGGCTTGATCCATTAATTGAAGTTTCATTTTTCCTCAGTGGGAATAGGAAAGGCTAAAGTGTTTCAATGTGTTAAAAGCCTGGGTGATATGCTGTCTTTCACACTAAAAGTATTGAAATCTGTGTTTAATTTTCTACCCGCCAATATAGTGACATGCAAACAGTCATGAATAGTGTAGAACAGAACTTTTCTGTGAGAAAATCAGAACAAACTTCAATGTAACTTTTTACTATAGGAACACCTAGGTATAAGTAGCAAGGAGAACTATATTATCAGTAATATAGTTGAGAAAATAAACACCCATCATTAAACGTTTTGGTAATGATTTGAGAGATTGCTGTGTAGTGCATAATTGACTTTTAAAGCCTTATATGGCTTGCCATAGTGGAAGTAAGACAGTATGTATATAATGTTTATTTCTGCTCTGCCCCTGGTTTTAATGGATAGTCACAGGCATTATCAGTAGAGTTTGGTATTTGTAGTAGCATTCCATCCTTGAATGCAAACACTGGAAGTTCCTTGGAAGAACTAAAGAAAATCCAAATTCACTTAAAGAGGTCCTCTACAAAAATTCCTGTAAAGCTAAGGAACAAACTGCAATGCTGCTTTGGTTCTGAGTGTGGAAAAAGGACCAGACTATGAGACCTTGGCCAGAGTGAGTAGTAGAAGGCACAGACTGCATCAGCTTATTCAGAACTGGCTGTCTATTTAGTGAAAGCAGAACAATTAGTGATGGATGACTGCTTTCTTTGCCATTGTATATATTTACTTGATGTCATAGATGAAACTAACATGAAGTACATGGAATAGGGCTGAATTAAGGTGCAAGAAGGAAGGCTTAAATAATGTTCAGGCAGAGCCAAAGCTATCATGGGAGGAAAAGAGTTTAGATGCATGTGATTTGAATGTGCTTTAATAACAGGCATTGTGGTTCAATTTGTGAAATGAAAACTGTTTTACATTTGCAGATACAGGTGCTGTGTTTACATTTGGCAAAACTAAATTTGCTGAAAATATTCCTAGCAAATTCTGGTTTAAGAATGACATACCTATATGTCTTTCGTGTGGTGATGAACATACTGCTATTGTTACAGGTTAGTATTACAATCCTAAATGAAGATAGAAATTCTTGAATAATCCTAAATATTGTCTGTCCTGTTTAATAAAAATTGTTGCTGCTTAATGTTAGAACTCTTTACACGTAATGGAATCAGCTCATCCATAGAAGGACAAGGTAACCTGCCTGAACACAGTAGGATGCAGTTTAAACATCTGTTTTTATTGCCTATAATATATTTGTTTTATGTCTAAAAATTGTCATTGATTTGGAACCCAAGAACCCCAAAAGGAGTGATGATATTATAGCATTGCATTTGACCATATTTTTACCTTAAAAAAAACTACTTAAATGTTTCTGATATTGTATATACATAAAGAACAGGGTTTCTCGTGTGTTAAACATATTGAAAGTGTATAGAAAGTGGTTTTGTATTTGTCAGAGGATCCTTTAAAAATTGTTTCAAGAGTCTTTTCAAACTTAACCTTAATATACTTAAATGGTTTTCTACATGTGAAACATTTTTGGAATCTATTTCATTGCAATAAAAAATGTTAATATGTAATCTTCAAAAAATACATTACACTTAATGTGTCCATACATGGACAGAGAAGGTAGCCACTCCTATTTCTTGTTCTTTAGTATTTTGAAAAATATATGTTTTTTGTTTCCTTGTGATTCTTTCATCTACTGTTATCTATGTGAAGATGGCTTTAATTTGTTGTTTCTCTTTCCCTCCCACTAGGAAATAATAAACTTTACATGTTTGGCAGTAACAACTGGGGTCAGTTAGGATTAGGATCAAAGTCAGCTATCAGCAAACCAACATGTATCAAAGGTTTGGGGCCTTTTCTTCTTTATATTATTTATATTCTTCTTGATATTTTCCAGATGACATTTAGTAGCTTTAATATTGATCCTTTGACTCTTTAATGTTTTTATTGTTTAAGATTTTCTTGAATATTATTAATACCTACTCTTATTCTTTATGGGAAACTCACAAATACTTTTATGGTGGAGTCAAAAAGTCTCTTTGACTCAAAACCCAAGAATCACAAAGGAAGTAATGATCCTCTAGTATTGAATTTGACTTCTAAACAATTGCTTGTTTGGAAAGGGGCTTAAATATTACTACTATTACGTATAAGGAAATCAGTCTTTATAATGAATTGTAATTTGGAGTTTTGTCTCATCATGGTTATACATAGTTACTGGTTATTAAAATACTACAGAATAATGAAATGACTAAACAAAGCATCAAGACTATGGGTTGATGAATAGCATATAAGAACAACAGAGCAAAGTATTTCACATCAGTATTGTCTCAAATACATGACTTTCTCACCATCATTTGTAAACTTCTGGGTGTAGCTTATGAACATAAATAAGTTTACAAGGTAGTAGATAGTCCTGGGGATGTGGTAAGAACAGTGTTCTCTAGCTTCAGGGCCCAAATATAAATTTCAGCTTAAAGTTTCTGTGTGATTTTATCATAGCCATGCTATCTATAGGCATTATTATGAAACTATTAATGTTATGATTAGAAAATATTTAATTGGACACAGACTACTAAACACTTAGTATTGCCAGTGACCATGACTTTACAAATACCTAATAAATGTTATCACAACCTATGAGATCCTGGAAGCAGAGACTCTTAGCCAGCTGTGCAGATGCTTTGCCAGTTAATTAGGAGATATTTGTATATGTTGAAAAATATGTAAATGAAGCCAGTGGTAGTGGTGCACTCCTTAATCCCAGCACTCAGTAGTCAGAGGCAGGTGGATCTCTGTGAGTTTGAGGCCAACCTGGTCTACAGAGCCAGTTCCAGGAAAACCAGGGCCACACAGAGAAATCCTGTCTTGGAAAATCATATGTATGTATTTATGTATGTATGTATATTTATATGTATGTATAGTTATGCATATATAAACACATAAATATATATGTGTATATATATGTATATATATATGTGTGTATATATATATGTGTGTGTGTATATATGCTCAGCTGAACTACTTCAACCCATGTGTATGCCCATGATTATTAGTTTTAGTGTTTTTATTGCGTGTCTCAGAAGTTTGTGGCAGGTTAGGTAATAAATAAAGTTTGGAAGAGGCAATATAATAGAATGCACTGGATCTTGATATATTAATTTCCCATAGTTATTTTTAATTAGATGCCTTGGCCCTACCTTTGAGCCAGGAACTCACTGTTTGCCACACTCCACTGATTTTTATGCTGCACTGTGCACTATGGATAAACATTTGGATTAGTAGTTACGACCACTGATTTGGAGTCACCAAGTTTATACTAGATTTTAGTTGCAGTTGTGGGGTTTCAGAGTACATGCAGAGCATGCTCCAAGTCCTGGATCCCATCCCCTGTAGTACAATAAAGAAACGCCAGTTGTACCAGTTAATTATCATTTGACCTAGATTATTTATCATATTCATGCCCAGAAAATCTTGTAATTGTCATATTCTCATGTCTAGCTCTTAAGCCTGAGAAAGTGAAGCTGGCTGCCTGTGGAAGGAACCACACCCTAGTTTCAACAGGTACAGTATACATTCTGTGTAGTTGCTATCTAGCCTTGAGAACTGGCTTCTGACTTCAGTAGTAGTTGTGGCTTTGTAAAATTACTAGGCACGATACTTTGGTGTCATTTAGAATAGAGTTTTAACAATGTAAGTGTTTAGAGCATGCACTTTGCCTTTGTGAGTCTACAAATAAATGCCGAGTAGCTAAGGATCAAGAGCTAGCATCTTTTTCTCTGGGGGCACACCTGGGGATGCTTCCTCCTGTTCCTTGCCCTTCCTTCTTTGCTACAGAATTTGAATGGAAGCCACAGGAAATGCTCTGGATAGGAGTCATCTCAGTTTCACTTAAAATCTACCTAGCAAGTCTAATGTGTCTAGAAGTTCATTAAGTGAATCTTAAATTTATATAGAAAAATCAAAGGAGACACACAATAGTCCAAACAATTTTTAAAAGGAATAAAGTTTGGAGCTAGCAATATTCTGATTCTAGTCCCTATCATAAAGTTACAATAATAGTGGCAATGTATATTGACAAAGAGTAGATGAAATTTAATGAAATAAAGCAGTGCAAGAAGCAGGCCAGCGCATGTATCCATGGCTGATTTCTGCTTTCATGTTTTCTCCTGCTGAACTATAGCCCCAGCAGCTGACTTCTAAGAGCTTTGAAGACAGTTCAGTGGAGGGAAGGATGGTTTTACCACATGCTGCTGAAGAGTTAACAGTGCCTGTTTACTGTCTTTCCCTAGCCCTGTTCTTCCCGATCACTGTTTCCTAGCCATTCTCTCTACCTTAGCTCTCTATACCGCACTCCCCTTTGCTCATACCCTTTTCACTGTTAATATAGGATGTATCTGCCGTTTACCAGAATGTCTCAGACGTTGGGTGACGACAGTATGTTAATGAACATTTTTTTTTTTATGTGTACAGATAGAGGCAGTGTATACGCAGCTGGGGGAAATAATGAAGGACAGTTGGGGCTTGGGGACACTGATGACAGAGACACTTTTCATCAAATATGCTTCTTTACACCTAAAGATACCATCAAACAGCTCTCTGCTGGTGCTAATACATCAGCTGCATTGACTGGTAAGACTCGTCTGTGCTTCTTTGTGGACACCTCTTTTCTTTTAAGGGTATATGAACTCAGTAAATGTGTGTTAGTATTAGCATTCTGTGGATCTTCAAAACTAGAACCTGAAATCTACATGTATATTTTGACCTGTATAGAAGGTGATTGATAAATATATTCTCAGCCCTGCTGGCCAGCTATTCTTTTAGCTCTTCTTTTGTTTTGGTTCTGGTTTTTGAGATTGGGTTTTACTGTGTTGTATAGCCATGGCTGTCCTAGCTCTCACTCTATAGACCAGGCTGGCCTGAAAATCACGGAAATCCTTCTGCCTCTGCCTCCTAAGTGCTAGGATTAAAAGTATGTGCCTCTGCCGCCCTAGCTAGATATTCTTAAATGTTGTCTTCATTGTATATTCTGATTGGTATGCTTGTGGCTTTAACTGAAGTCTCTATGAGAAATATAGATAGAAATCTGTTGGGATGTATGTTGTTTTAAAATTGTGTGTTATATTGGTCACTACATATCTCTGTCTTCCTTCTCAAAAGTAGATATGAGAACTTGGAGCCATGATCCATGTGTGACCTCACTGAAGCTGCAAGCTGCTGGCTTACAGCTTTCGTCCAAGCAGAAAGAGATAAAACAACATCTGGTGTTGTTTAACTATATAGTTTATTATTCAGTGTCACTCCTTCAGTTTTTACTTTCAGTTTTAATTTTGGCTTATTATTAAACTGTCTCAAAAATCAATTTTTTCATTCACTAAAAGAAGTTGATGGGTATTGTTGCACAGTTAATCTCTTTAACTTTACTGTCAGAGGCATGGTGGGCATGAGTTCATGGCTACACAGTTAAGATGCGGGTTTTTTTTTGTTTGTTTGTTTCTTTTGCTTTTTTTAAGTAGTAAATACCCTCCATTTAGCTTAACTATCCCCAACACTAAAACCTTATCAGAAAGGACATAACTGAATGTGATTTTAAGGTGATGAATGTTAATATGTCTCATTCTCTGAAGCTAGGCAGACTGTATTTTCAGGTATACGATAATAAAAAAAAGAGTGAAATTCAATGTGTGTTTTGTTTTGTTTTTCTTTCTCCTTTGAAGCATTTCCATGGTGTCTCCCGAGCAAGTTTTTATTTGGGACCTTGCTCTTTTCGTTTGGAGACATGTAGATGCTTTCTGTTGTCCCTCAGTTCAGTGGCAGGCACACTCCCTGGAGGGAGGGAACCCTTTCTGTGTGAAGACCTTAAAAGGATACAAAGTGACTGTAGAAAATGGCATCTTGTGTTTACTATTGAGATAAAAATATGAGCATAACTAAAGTGATTTACCATCCACTCATTCTATGCTCTTTATTCTTATACAGCATCCAACAATAGAAGTTGAACTTGCAGGTCACAATCTGATGTAAATGGCTTTTATGACTTTCCATTTTCAGTATTCAGAATATGTAAGGAGGGACATAATAATGTGTTGTGTATGACTTTTTTCTCTTTTTGTTTGTTTTGAGACAGTCTTACTTTGTAAACCTAGCCGGCCTGGTGTATATTATGTAGCTTAGAGACCGGCTGTATTCACAGCAAGCCCCCTGCCACTGCCCGCCCCCTGAGCTCTGGAATTAAAGGCATGAGCTTCCTTCCATACCTGGCTGAATTGTTGTTTTCAAAGTGACTGGCAGAGGATTTTGAGTTTTCTCAATTGAAGGAAAAGATAGATGTTTAAAATTCTAGATAAATCTCTCTGAGTTGATCATTATATTGTATATATGCATTTTGACATATCATGTTGCATTCCATAAATGCCTACAGTTATTATATATCAATAAAGAATAAAATAAGATTTAAAAATTGTAAGCCAGAAGACAAATGATAGCCTATAGGAAATGTCATAGCTTGAGAGCCCAGTTTGCCTTTTGAAGACCTTTATCCCCTCTTGCTTTCTTTACAGAGGATGGAAAACTCTTTATGTGGGGTGACAATTCTGAAGGGCAGATTGGTTTAAAAAATAAAAGCAATGTGTGTGTCCCTCATGAAGTGACCGTTGGGAAGCCAATCTCATGGATCTCTTGTGGATATTACCATTCAGCTTTTGTAACAAGTAAGATGAACACTTTACATTGTCTCATTTCTCAATCATTACTAATAATGATGAGTTACATTAACAGGTTGTTCAGCTACTGAAATAATGTATGTTTTATGAACTATAGAAATGATCACTGAAAGTATAGTCATTAATGTATGTTTTAATTCAAAACATTTCTCCATTTCTATATTGACAGTTTGTAATTTCAAATTTTCTCTGACATGCCAACTTTTTAGAAAGTAAATACTGGGTCTGTTATAAAAATGAGATTGCTATTTTAGAAATCTTTCTAAATTTTGGTTCTCAAACTTCTTAGCCTTTTTTGACATTAAAAACTACTCATGAGCCACTCTCCCCTGATTCGCCTGCTCTATTCTTTCTGTACTGGTATTTTTTTTTTTATTGTTTCAAATAAGTGTGTCATGGAGTATTCTTGGGAGAACCAGGGTGCAGATTAGATGCAGAAGGATGAGACCTTTGTCCTTTGGTAAAACTTTTCTCGGTATCTGCAGCCCATTAAAATATTAAAATATTGAACTGTTGGAGTCTACATGTATGTTGACATCTACATTTACAGCTCTCCTTCTAACTGACTGTTTCTTATAATCAGATGCTCAGATGAAGTAGTGTAGTGGATTCATTTAGAACAGCAGTTAATTCAGAAACCCATAAGTGGGCAGAGTGCTAGCCTAAGTGATTGCCAAGCACTCAGCCCTAAACAGGACATCTCTGTATCACCCCATCTCGAGCTTAGGGAATATCCCACAAATCAGCAGAGAGACAGTAAGATCTGGGAGATATGGAGAAAGCTGTCTTCTGAACATGATGTGATGGCTCTACACAGAATGTCACAGTGCTGTGGTTATTTACACAAGGGATAAAGGCTTTTGACTTTCTAGGCATTAATAGTTCCTATCAGTACATGGTTTTTCTACATCCATACACAGAAAGAGGAAGATGTAGCAGCAACTCGTAATGAATAGACACTGCCTATGTTTCCCGAGTACTTTTCTAGTCACTATTTTTGTTTGTTTGTGTGAAACAACAACCCATGATGTGGCATATTTCCTCCAGTTTCATAGTAACAGTGATTACTAGTGGATTCAGCAAGTAAGTCGCAGGGTTACAGATATGAATATAAAAGTCTGAGCTTTAAGAAGCTCACAGTCATAGTGTGATAACTAATACAGAGGAAAGGAGTGTTAGTGTGGACAAAGTGGAAATAGTTCATAGCGCCATCTAACCAAAACGTTTTCTTTACAGTTATTCAACTTAGGCATTTCATACATAAACAAGCTTTCCTGAGCAAGTGTCATAAAAAAAAAAATGAACTGTCTGGGCTTGGCTGCTCAGGCCTATAATTTTAGCTAGTCAGGAGGCTAAGTAGAAGTATTCTATGCTCAAGGCCTGCTACCAGAGTGGGTTCAAGGCTAGCCTGGGTAATGTAATGAAATGCAGTCTCAAAATGTGAAACTTATGAAGAACGCTGGTGCTTAAGCTCTTTGGTCAAGCTCTTGCCTAACATGTTCGAGGCCCCAGAGTTAATCCCTGGTACCACCAACACATATGCATGCCGTAAAGGTATAGAGATAGTCTTTGCTGTATTTTCTGGAGAAACTAAAATGATTTTCTAATTCTTTATAGTCATGAATTCTTTGTGAAGGGTAATAGATTAAAATAACTGAGATTAAAGTAACTGCAAGGTGAAAGATATCTTAAGAAAGATCAGAATAACTTCATTACTTCATTTATGGAGCATGAGAACAAGAGCCAAAGGATCAGCATTCTGTTTACATTTATGTCCCCATGAATCTTTCTACTTTTCTTCCGACAGTGGATGGGGAACTGTACACATTTGGAGAACCCGAAAATGGGAAGTTGGGCCTTCCTAATCAGCTGTTGATCAATCACAGATCACCCCAGCGTGTACTGGGGATTCCTGAGAAGGTGATTCAGGTAGCCTGTGGTGGAGGGCACACTGTGGTTCTCACAGGTATGTGCAGAGCCTGCTATGCTCCTCTCTGTGTTCAGTGGTAGCTAGTGACATTCTCATGATCCTCTTTATTGTGACAAGAGAAGCATACTTGGGGCCGGAGAGACGGCTCAGTGGTTAAGAGTGCTTGCTTTTCTATCACAAGGACCTGAGTTTGGATTCCAGCACATGAGTTGGCCAGCTCACAGATTTCTATGTAATTCCAGCTCCAAGGGACCCAACACCCTTTTCTGACCTTGGTAGGCACTTACACATACATACACACATACACACACATCACACTAAAAATAAGTTTAAAAAGAAGAATATTTAACATGAGCTGTAACTTCTAAAGAGATTTTAAAGTTTATACTGTAAGATTGTTACATTATATAAATATATATATATATATATATATATATATATATATATATATATGATGTTGTATTTTTAAAACCTTTTTAATCTAACTGAGTTATGTATCTGATCTGAAGTTCATCCTCTCCCTTGGCTCCTGAAAACCACCATTCTTGGTCTCTATGAGTTTGACTTCTATAGATCCTATAGGGAAGCAGGCCTTGCATCTCTTTGAATTATGAACCCTGCCTTTCATTTACATAGCTAAGACATATTTCTGGTTCTGGGAAGACTTTTTTAAGTAAGAAAAATTGAATCTTAATTGTTCTGCTAACATAATTGACAATTCCCCAGCCAACAGATGCTTAGTGGCAGCAAACTATATTCATATGTATATTTCGTACTCATCTAAAAATTAATGTTTTCCCTACAATACTTGCATTTGAAGAAGCTGCCTTCCTGCTATTTTCTGATTTTGATGTTTTATATTTATAATGTGTAAGTTTAAAGATTTCTTTGTGATTTTTATAATCTGTTATAATAATTCTTTAAAAATTGGTAAAGTTTTAGAAATCCTTCAAAATAATGTCTTTGGCTTATGAATTTCTTACTTTGTGAAATATACCATCTTATTTTTAGTTTTCTAGTCAGTATGTTGAAATATACTCACTATTTTGTAATATGAAAACCAAATAGAGGTCTCCAAATTTGTTCAGCATCAGATTTAATATAAATGAATATTGTAGTACTAATATATTTAGATAATGGGTTTTTAATTTTAAAACAAAAAAACTAGTAAGGGCTGGGGAGATGCCTCAGCAGTTGACCCACTAGCTGCTTTTACAGAGGACCTGAGTACAGTTCCCAGTACCCACACTGGGCATCTTGTAACTGCCTGTAGCTCTGATTCCAGAGGAGCCAATGCACTCTTCTGACCTCTGCAGACACTTGCATGCACATGGTGCACCCACATTCACTCAAGAACGCACAGAAATAAATATAAAAATTAAAAGAAAATTGTAAGCCCAGTCATTACTTAATCTGTAGCTCACACAATGTGTTTTGTAAAATAGTTTTATTAAATTACTTTTAAAAGGGGATATCTTTGTAGGATTTTTAAAATTCTGGCAGTGAAAGGAAATAGTTTAATAATATTTGAGATTTTTGTGAGCTGGTGCGGTAATTATAAATACATACCAGGCAGTTCTCTGAATTATACATCTTGTAACCCACCTGATGATACCCATCATTCCTTTTATGGTTATTCATAAAAGACAAAGTCAGACCCAGGTAGTTATTGTGTAACACTTCAGTTTTCTCTGCTTTCATCACTGAAAATTTGCACTCCATATCAGTATTTTTAGACATAGCTCTTTCATAGTCAATTAATGTCCCTTGTAAAAGTTTAAATGTCACAGTTATTTCAGATATGATGTACCTCCACGGAATTCTTTTCATTTTTGTGTCCATTCCCTCTCAGAGAAAGTTGTATATGCCTTTGGGCTGGGACAGTTTGGCCAGCTGGGCCTTGGCACTTTTCTTTTTGAAACATCAGAACCCAAAGTCATTGATCGTATTAAGGACCAGAAAATAAGTTATATTTCCTGTGGAGAAAATCATACAGCTTTGATGACAGGTATGAGATCATTTCTCTGTTTTCCGTTAATAGAATTGGATATAGCTCATTATAAAATGAATGTATAATTCATATGAAAGCAAATGTGGGGGCATGGTGTAGCTCACTGATAACACATGTTCTTAGCTTTATGGAGTTCAGTCCCTAGCACCCAAACAAAAATGACTTGCATTCCTGAATCCTAAAGTAGACCTTTGGTGAAGAGTAAGACAGTAAAGTCCTTTTGAAATTGTATCAATTGAAAGGCTCGTAACTGTTCTTGAAACTCTCATCAAGCCAGAAAGGGAAATCACACAAGCTACAGTGTAGAAGAATGACATTTTAGGATGCTATGTCCCCCAGGGGGCGTTTCATGACTTACTTTTTCTTTCCTTTTGCAAAGTAGTAGAAAGAGAAGGGCTCTGCGATGACCACCAGGGGGCGTTTCAGGATTGACTCTTTTCCTTTCCTTTGGAGAAGGATACTGCAAAACCCACCGAGCAAACACATCTCTCTTCGTTGTCTTCTGCTTTACTTAAGGAGATGTTCTGTTGGCGTTGGCCTGCTTACTTCCTAGTCTCATAAATCAGATGGTGTTGATATGTAGGACTCAATAAAATTCTCCCTTAAAATGACTTAACCATTCACCACAAGGAACTTATATATTTGAAAATTTAAGTGCTTTGTAACAAAAGAACCTATAATTCCTCTGTTTCTTCTAAAAACAATGTAAAATATGAAAAATGTCAGAAATAATTCTAGTATATTTGAATAACACAAACTGTCATATTCTTGTTTTCCTTCCTTTAGAGAAAGTAGGAATTAGAAAACACAAGCTGCTACCACAAATAGTTCCCTCTTTCCCACAGAACCCTTCAAGAAAAATGACCTGCCCATCGTCGTCTATTGATGCTCTCCTTTGCATAGCATGTAACAGCACTATGTAGAATCAAAAGCAAAAACATCCTTGCCCCATAGGAGCTGTTGATATATGTCCCTTACTGTGGTGCCCCAATAATAGCTTTTCTGTCCATGGTACCATTTTTCATCAACCCTAAATTGTCACTGATGATAAATATACTTTTTATGTATCATTTGTCTGACTATAGAGAGTTCAGTTAATTTTGCATAGTACTTTTTCTATCTGATGGAAAGAGTTATGGCACTAATAACTGAATATTAAGTTTGTTTAACTTTTTTTCATCTACCCTCCCCAGAAAACAAGCGTTACATATTATTCTTTAGTACATCTAATACAATTATATCTATTATATCTATTGATTTTCTTAAATTCTTGTTAGTTCCCTATCAATAGCTCATAATTTTTAAATGTTCTTTGAGCTTGGAAAAACAATCAAGCAAATAAGGATTTACTTTTTCAGGCAAGAGAAAAGCAGACATCAAAGGGATTTGCTTACTTTTGTAAATTAAAATAGTAACTTACCATCTTACTGAATTCTATTCTATCACTTCAAGTCAGTCTTCAGTTAGGTGTTACAGATTCTCTTAGTGTGCAACCACTTGGCCTTCTTCAGTCTGAAATCCCCAAATATGAGCTAATCATTTCCCAGCTTAAAGTCATTCTCTTAAAAAGCTTGCTACTCTTCAAATACAATAAAATATACGATCTAAACTAATGTCACCCCCCCCACACACACACACACCCCATAGGTTGTGCCTTACTGCTTTAGACTCCGATCTCTCAAAGTTTTGCTTGTTCAGCGTGCTGATTACCTTTCAGCCTGACCTGTTATTATGTAAGCTTTTCCCTTGTACTGTTGACTCTGCCTGGAGGATGCCTTATTTCCTTCTTATAGTTAAATTTCATATTTTGGGATTCACTTTGAAAGCCTCCTCTAATCCCTTACCTAGTAGAAAATTCCCCTCCCCAGTGTCCCAATTGGCCTCAGTTTCTGTGGCACTTAACACACACCATTTAAATTCCTTTAAAGGAGGGGCTTGCGAAGAAGTGCAAAAATTAAATGCAACTGCGTGTCAATGTGTGGTGGCATTAGAGAGAAGTTTCAGGATTGCTCATCATTGTGTGCTAATCAAGACAGCACTCAGATATTGAAACAGGGATTGATCAGAGTGCTTGGTTGACTCCAGGCATTGCTTAGGCAGTGTCCCACAGCCCAGGAGCCAAATTAAGAAGAGACAGCTGCATTCTACATGATATAGTTCTTTACCAGTGATAAATTTGCACCCCTTGGAGAGAAGGATGATATCTGGAGACATTTTTCAATTTCACTACTTCAGCATCAGTGATGCTGCTGAATATACTACAATGCATAGAACAGACACATAAGTCTTTGGCCACCAAGACATAGTGATCCATTCTCAGTTCCATTGCCTACTGTTCTGTGAAGAACCACAAACACTATGCCTTGCAGAAGTCAGTAGACCAGAGAGAATCATAACTCAGCATTCTTTCTTTGAAAAGATTATAATTGCAGTAGAAGTTGAGTATTTGTCTATAACTAGACCTGTACAAACAGAAATTGAGTAACTTCAATTTTGTTTGCTTTTTAGATATAGGCCTCATGTATACTTTTGGAGATGGCCGACATGGAAAATTAGGACTTGGAATGGAGAATTTTACCAACCAGTTCTTTCCTACATTGTGCTCTAATTTTTTGAGATTTACAGTTCAATTGGTAAGGGTTTCTTTCACATTCCCTTGTGCATATTTTCATATTTCTAGATAGGAAACTTGTTAATTACATATATTTATATGAACATTTCATAAATGTAGCTAATAACTATAAGTAGATTTATAAGAACCCAATGGTAGACATCATACTACTCTGAAATATTTTTTCCAGTTTTGTACCCTCATGAACATTTTTTGTACAGATACTGGCTTTTCTGCTTCATCTTCACTTCTCTTGAAAACCAGGACTATACCATGCCTGTAAGCTTTGTGTCTCATGTAGCAAATACCCAGTAGATGGCCTTGCTCACAAGGCCAAATGCAGTATGACTGGGGAAGGTTGGACACTCCCAAACCCTGCACATGAAGAGACATTGTAATCAGTGCACAGTGTTGCTAATGATCTTCTGGCTGAACACTCAAATAAGAACCTCTCTTTGAAGTGCCATGCCACCATCAGCCTTCCTGATTCATTATCTCTAGGCTTTTTGCCAGCTAAGAGCTGTAGACATGTAAGTGCTGCTTACTTGGTAGTGCTCATAATGCTTCTCCAAAGACACTGTGTCTCATACTATGGAATACTTCTCTTATTCATTTGATACCTGTGATAGTTTGAGTTGCCAACTCAACACAATCCAGAATTACCTGGGAAGGGGGCTTTAATCAGGGATTGTCTAGATTAAGTTGGCCTGTGGACATGCCTGTGGGAATTTTCTTAATTGTGTTCAGTAAAGTCTGAAAACCCATCCTGAGTGTCGGCAGTCGCATTTCATATTCTGGGCCTTCCTTGTACTTCATAAAATGGAGAGAGCAAGCTGAGCACTAAATATCATGCATGCATTGCCCTCTGCTCCTGCCTGTGGAACTGATGGATTTAGTCGCTCGAGCTCTGCCACTGAGACTCTCTTGTTATGATGGGATTCACCCTGCACCCAAGAGCTGAACTGAACCCCTAAGTTGCTTTTATCACAGGGAGAAGAAGAGCAGCTAATCACCATTTAATGAAAGCTCACTATATAAAAGACCTATATATTAGGAATACAAATTATCCAGTGATGGACAAGATACCCACTGCTTACTTTTGGGAGAGGATACTTTTAAATAGATGTAATTTTAATCAAAGTCAGGTGCAGAGTATGCACTCTTCTAATATCACCAGGAAGAGCACTGCAAATGGCTAGAAGCTAAGTCTGAAAAACAGTATAGGCTCTTTTTTCATTAGCTTTTATTGATGACTTAAGACCTTTTATATTTAGGATTATTATTGAGATAGATTTGCTAATTTCTATAATTAAAATATAATTTTATCCCTTCTCCCCATCCTTCCCATGGCCCTGTCATCCAAATTTGCATCCTCTCCTTTATCCATTTTTACACATACATATAAACAAATAAGTACATAAGTATAACCTCCTTAAGTACATAAGTATAACCTCCTGAGTTGTTCATTGTTGCCTACATGGACATATTTGAGGGCTGGCCAATGGTATTGGATAAACAGTGAGGGCTCATTTCTGGAGAAGACTAATTCTCTCTCTCACTGTAGTCTTTAGTATAGGGTTTTTGTTAATATTTTTGTGAAAAGCATTTACTACTTAAAACTCATTAGCAGGTTTATCTTTCATTATTTTTTTTTTTTTTTGGCCTGCTTGTATTTTCTTCTAAAGACTTGTAAGACTTTAATTTAGAAAGTGTTCTTTGGGAGGCTTGGAGACATAATATCTTTTATTTTTGACAATATTATGATTGTATTCATCTCCTTAGTCTCTCATATCCTTTTCCCTCTCCCTCTCAATGCTTTCTTTTTTTCAACTAGCACATCTCTTACTCTCATGCCTTTTCTCAGTTCACTGAATTTAGGGTTGCAGGCATGAAAAGAAGCGTATGTATATGTATACTCATACATACATACATATTTTACATATGGGGAGTGATAGAACAGAGAAAATCCATGAGCCAGACAATCTTAGGAGCTTACCTCTAAGTTAACATCTTGTAGCTGATCTGACAACTTTTAGCCCATTTGTGTTTGATGTTAACATTAATTAATTAATTTTTCTGTGAATTTATGCTTGCAGATTGCCTGTGGTGGGTGTCACATGTTAGTTTTTGCCACCCCACGTCTTAGTGCACTGGAGGAATCTGAATTTGAAGAAGTGTATGAGCCTTTCCTAAGTACGGGTTCTATGCCCATTGGTGAACTCGCTCCAGGAACTCCACTGAATAGATCTTTATCAGCACGTCTGCGGCGAAGAGAGCGGGTACAGTTGTGGTCTAGTCTGTATGATAGTACTATCTACCACCACAAAGAAAACAGGAATGACTTTTCTTTTAAGTCAAAGGAGGGTCTTTTAAGATGAAAATGGTCAGAGATAAAGGCTTTTAAACTTTTGTAGTAAGTTCAGAGTTGATGTTAAAGAACACAAATTGGAAAATTCAAATTACCTTGAATAACCTTTGCTTATAATCATCAACAATTCCACACGTTTGTATAGATCTCCCTTACCTCAAAGTGAGTGGTCCCTTGATCTTTTCTTAAGCTGTATGTGGATTGAATATTTGTTACATGTTTTTTTAATACTATGGTAAGAACATTGCTGTCCATGGAACAGCTTTAAGAATGTACAAACAGTGTTAGTATAAGAGATACTGTTCTATTGTACAGCAGATGTGGGACATTCAATCGTTAGCATTATACGGCCTTCTGTTAGTTAAGCCTCCTAAGCAGTGGGAAGTTATAGATCATAATCAATGAGACGCGGGAAACAGAGAAATTGGTCCTTCACTTAAATAGAGAAAGTTTGCTACCAACTACATTTAGAGACTCTCTGTGCTTCAACATTGCTATATAAGTTACATGTCTTTGAAAACTATTTAAATACTGGAAAGCTTTGAAAATTATTTTAGGTTCTAAAATGTATTCCTTTTGAAGTAAAAGGTATATGTGAAATATTGAAGACTATCCCTGTCTTATGAGCAATATTTTGCCTCTCAGAGTAGATGATGAAATACAAACACACTCCCTAACACATGACAAATAGACTTTGCTAGTGACAGTTTAGGGTACCCAAGATACAAAGACCAAAATCCAGAAGGCTTTTGAGTCCTTGGGAATACTTATGTTCAAGTTGTGGACCATTGCCAGACTCTTAAGACTTTTGTCTTAAATATTTTTAATGACTATAGGAAAATGTGTGCAGATATTATATGTAACAATATTTGACAGTTTGTTTAACCTTCTTTTAAAGGAGAGACCCCCATGTTCCCCTTCAGTGGTGGGAACACTGCCTCCATTAGAGGGCACTTCTGCTTCTACTTCAGCTGCCTATTTTTCCCCCAGTTCAATCCCTTTCCGCTTGTCTATGGATAACTACCCAGAGAAAAGCCTCTCTGAATCCGTGGAGCCACTGGACTCAGGTAATGTTGGCCTGCTTTCAAAGGAAGTGGAACTTGCACTCCTGCCATTTTCATGCTTATCTCCAGATGTTTTGTCCTGGGCCAGGGACATAGGTCAGTGGTATAATTATAGCGCTTGCTTGATTTGGGTAAGTCCCTGAGAATCATTCTAAGAACTGGAAATAAATGAAACACCTATTTTTTTTCCAGTTTGTTATATTATCCTCCCCCTAGTTAGAGTGTGACATTTCTAATTGCAGCTGAAATCTGTGTACACCATACAACACGCACCACAGAAGCAACTCTGTGGAGCAATGGGTAATACACATAGAATCATTCTAGGCCTGCAAATTCCAAAACTTAGGTGGGAATATTGTCTTTATTTTGTGGCTAAGAAAAGCAAGGCTCAGAGAGACAAGGTGACTTTCCTACTGTCATTCAGCTGATGAATGTAGTAGCCAGGGTATAACTGGAAGTTCTGTACTGCCGCTGTAATTATCCACAGTTCATATGTGCTCCGGCATGGAGTTATGCACTTCAATCTAAATTGCATGGTAGGCCAGGTACTTCTAAACTATGGGACCATCTTAATTTCTCAAAGCCTTGGTTCCTTTATTTTTGAAATGGGTTTGATAATACTCAAAGTTCTGGCAAAATCACACAAAAGACAAAGGCCCTTGCTATGTATGACTGACAACCTAAGTTTGATCTCTGGAACCCACATAAAGGTTAAAAGAGAACTGGCCAATTGCATAGTTGTCTGACATGGCACATATGTACATATACATCATGTGTACACAATAAGAATAATTCAGAAAAGTTTTAAAATGCATAATTGAATAGATGTGAGGATTAAGTGAGATCTAGCATGTAAAATACCTGGTAATACATTCAATATCTCTATAAGCCCCGTTCTAAATATACCTAAGATCATTAATACCTCTACCTCATTACATATTACCTATAGATTTCATATTTTAAATTACAGTCCCAATTCATTTACTATACTCTGCTTTTTCTTCAGTCTTCAGATCATATATGTGTGTGTGTGTACATACATATGCGCGCGCACACACACACACACACACACACACACACATATATTTCACCTTTAACTATTCTGTACCTCTTCTACATAATTGTACTTGGAGATGTTACTGTATCTTAGGAGAATTTGTCTATTACTACAGATGTATACTTGAATGTAGCCTCACGAGCAAGAGATCAGAGAAACTGTAGTTTGGGAAATGGAAGCAGGTGAGATGGCTCAGAGGTTAAACACATTTGATGTGAAGGCCTGGTGCCTGAAGTTTACTCCTGCTTTCCACATAAAGGTGAAAAGAGAGAACTGACACCACAAACTTGTCTTCTGACCCTCACACACATACCATATCATGCAGGCACCCATATACACAGAACACATACACGCACACACGCACGCGCACACACACACACACACACACACACACACACACACACACACAGGCACATGCACACCAATAGTTTTAAAATGAAACCTAAGAGTTGAAGATGAAGCATGGTGGAAATGACTTTTTGTATCTTTGAGGAACCTAGGCAAATGACTGAATTAATAAAATTAATAAAGGGGGCCAGGGACCCTGAGCAGACATAGAATAGTCACAATAAGCAGGACATCGATAACGAGTTACTTACGTGCACCTCTCTCATGGGGTTCACTTTGAACATAAGCATCAACGTCAGATGGTGCTTTTTAAACTGTAAACATAAAAATATGAAGTCGGGAGGGAGCATGGCAAGAATTAGAGGGAAATGTGTGGAATAGAGATGATCATAGTTCATTGTATACATGTTTGACATTCTTAAAAAGAGAAATTTCAAAAACATTTAAAAATGTTGAAAGTAATAACAGATTGTACCAAGCAGTGTGCTCAGAGAAAGATGAGTTTATAAGTGTAGGAAAATTATTTCACACTTCAGGAACTTCTGACATATATCTTCAACATAAGCTGCTTCCTTCTATCTCTCTACTTCTTTGTTCTGTTAGTATTGGGCTTCCCTTTCTTCCCCTTCCACCTGTACCTCCACCTGTATCTCAGAATTCTATGCATCCTTCCATGTGCCATGAAAGTGAAATCTTTCCTGACTCCCAAGATCCATATTAAGGATTAACAGTTACTATTTCTGAATGAACACACACACACAAAAAAAAAAAAAACACACACACACACACACACAAAAAAAAAAAAACACACACACACACACACCATCTGTCACATACCTTAAATATATAGATCATTTAAGAACAGAAATAATTGGCAATTAAATTTTCTCTGGAACTAAGGTATAATGAACAATTTACATTTATTTACATTAATTACAATCAAATGAAAGGATTTAAAAAGAGAAATGAGTGATTACTGACATTTTTAATGGAGATTTCATCAGGGAGTACCCATAGATATCCAGGTGACCAGAAAGGACATAGTGGCAAATGGACAAAATATAAGTTAAATAGAGGTAATTGATTTAGAATTTTCTCCTTTGTGATATTACCAGTTTTTGAATTCCAAGTGCTTATACTAATTTTTCATTGCTACATTTTAAAATGCCCAAAATTTAAAAAGTCAAAATCATAGATATTTATTATTTGATACAACGTCTGAGAGTCAAGAATCCAGGAGCAGCTTTGCTGAACATTTTATGTTCAGGCTCTTTTATGGACTTGCATGTTAGATTGGATGGTAGTATCTGGAAGCTTGACTTCTAGATCATTCATCTGACCATTAGCAGGGCACTTCACATCCTTGACATATAGACTTCTCCAGAGGGATGTTCATAATGTAGCTTGTCCTAGAGCAATGAGTCCAAAGAGAGAAATAAGGCACACATGTGACTAAAAAGCTACAGACATGTCACAGTTAAGTCTACTTCATTTGATTGATCATGCACATAGAGCTCAACCCCATATCATATGCGTGGGGAGCTGTATTGAGATGAGAATACCAGGGGAGTGTGCATCACTGGGACTGTCTTAAGGCTAGCTGGCAGTACTTGATACATACAGCTCAACTGAAAAGTACTTATTCCAAAGGAGTAATGTTTTCAAGTCCTTGTAAATGAAATTGTTGCTACAAGTTGGCAACAAAGTAGTTAAACTTTCAATATGAGATTCGAAAATATGCTGCTACTATGAGTGACTGCTATTCATCTTCAACCACAAGGTTAAAGGGCCTTGCATGCAGTTACACCCATGATATATTGTAGAGTGAGTTTTTGTTCACTTGCTTTTCTCATTTGTGTTAGATCTGAGCCTGACATTTTGCTTTTATTAATTCAGATTATTTTGAGGATAAAATGAACAAAGAAACAGAGACAGAAAATTCTTCAGCAGTGGATTCAGAAAACCTTGGTGAAACTACTGATATCTTAAATATGGTAATTATTTCCTGTCTATTTATATCAAAGTTATGTGACTTTTAGTTCCTCGTGAACTTGTGTGTATATACCTTCTATATTCTTTTATGTGTAAAAAGCTGGTTTTGGTTACTATTTAATAGTGTATACTAATATTACTGGGTTTCACTGTACCATTTCCATACCTCCATAATCCAAGCTTTGATCATGTGTATTCACTCTTTAACCCTCTCTTACCCTACACTTACTCCCCTCTACCAATCTCCTCCCTTTTCCTTAACAGCCCACTTTCTGCTTTTGGGTTATCTTTCCTTTTATTTTCTGTTCATGAGAGAAAACAGGTCATATTTTTCTATGCTAGATTTATTTTGCTTAACATATGTCCTATAGTTACATTCATTCTCCTGAAAATGACATGAGTTAATTATTCTTTATAGCTTTTGTGTGTGTGTGAGAGAGAGAGAGAGAGAGAGAGAGAGAGAGAGAGAGAGAGAGAGGAGAGAGAATTGTCTTTATCCATTCATCTGTTGACAGAATCTCTAACATAGCTAATGACTTACTGTGATAAACATGGATATACAGGTCTCTCTTTTGTGTTCTCACTTCATTTCTTTCACATATGAACCTCAGACTAGTAGAATTAGATTATTTTGTTATTACATAATAGTTTTAATAATAGTAATACTTAATAATTGGTAATTTAATAATAGTTCAGTTCTTTTTAAATAACTAATAGTTCTATCTTTAGGTTTTTGAGGAACCTTTGTACTGTTTTTCACCATGGCTATCTTACTTTACATTCCTTTTTCTCTCTTATTTTATATATTTGGATTTTTTTTCTCTTTGGTTAGTTTAGTTAAGGTGTTGTCCATTTTGTTTATGCTTCAGTCACGTCATTGATCATTCAGTCATTGATCTTTTCTGCTGTTTGTTTAGTCTCCATTTCATTCATTTCTGCTCTGATCTTTATTGTGTATTATTTCTTTCCTTCTACTGACTGGATTTTGCTCTTCTTATTTTTCTGAGGCATTGAGATACATTGTTAATTTTTGTGATCTCTTTGGCTATTTTGTTTGTTTGTTTTCCTTCAGCACTCACTGCTATAACCTGTGGTAAACTAATTCCCATTTTCCTGAGGAACCACCATACTGATCTCCAAAATGGCTGTATGAGTTTGCACTCCCACCAGCAGTGGAGGAGTGTTCCCCTTTCTCCACATCCTCTCCAACATAAGTCATCATTGTGTTTCTAATGTTAGCCATTCTGGCAGGGGTCAGATGGTATCTCAAAGTTGTTTTCATTTGCATTTCCCTGATAGCTAAGGATGTGGAGCATTTTCTTAAGTGTCTTTCAGCCTTTTTGATTTCCTGTATTGGGAATTCTTCAGTTCTGTACACCATTTTTTAATAGGGTTATTTGGTGTTTTGTTGACTAGTTTCTTGAGTTCTTTGTATATTTTGGAGATCAGCCCTTTGTCGGATATAGGATTGGTGAAAATCTTACCAGTCTGTGGGCTGCCGTTTGGTCTTGTCCACTGTGTCCTTTGCTGTGTCCTTTGCCTTACAGAAGCTTCTAAGTTTTAAGAGGTCCCATTTATTAATTGTTTCTCTCAGTGTCTGTGCCCCTGGAGTTATGTTCAGGAAGCGTTCTCCTATACCAATTTGTTCAAGGGTACCTCCTACTTTCTCTTCTAAGAGGTTCAATGTGGCTGGATTGATGTTGAGGTCTTTGATCCATTTGGACTTGAGTTTTGTGCATGGCGACAGACATGGGTCTATCTTCAGTCTTCTACACACCCTCATCCAATTGTGTCAGCACCATTTGTTGAAGATGCTGTCCTCGCCCCATTGTATAATTTTAGTTTTTTTTCGAAAATCAGGTGATCATAGGTGCGTGGGTTAATATCAGGATTGTCAATTCGATTCTATTGGTCTACCTGTCTATTTTTATGCCAATACCAGGCTGTTTTCAGAACTATACCTATGTAGTAGGGCTTAAAGTCAGGAATGGTGATGCCTCCTGAAGTTTTTTTTTAATTGAATAGGGTTGTTTTGGCTATCCTGAGTCTTTTAATTTTTCCATATAAAGTTGATTATTATCCTTTCAAGGTCGGTGAAGAATTGCGGTGGGATTTTAATGGAGATTGCATTGAATCTGTAGATTGCTTTTGGCAAGATTGCCATTTTTACAGTGTTTATCCTACCTATCCAAGAGCATAGGAGATCTTTCCATTTTCTGGTATCTTCTTTAATTTCTTTCTTTAGAGCCACAAAGTTCTTATTATATAGGTCTTTTACTTGTTTGGCAAGTGTTACACCAAGATCCTGTATGTTGCTTGTGGCTATTGTAAAGGGTGATGTTTCTCTGATTTCTTTCTCCTCTGAAAAAAGTAGGGCTACTGATTTTCTTGAGGTTATCTTGTATCCTGCTAGTTTGCTGAAGGTGTTTATCAGCTGTAGGAGTTCCCTGGTAGAGTTTATTGGGTCGCTTATGTAAACTTCATATCATCTGCAAATAGAAACAGTTTGACTTCTTCCTTTCCAATTAGGATCCCCTTGATCTCCTTTTGTTGTCTTATAGCATTAGCTAGAACTTCTGGTAAGATATTGAAGAGATATGGAGAGAGAGGGCAGCCTTGTCTTGTTCCTGACTTTAGAGGAATCGGCTTAAGTTTCTCTCCATTCAGTTTGATGTTGGCAGTTGGTTTGCTGTATATTGCTCTTATTATGTTTAGGTATGTTCCTGTTATCCCTGACCTCTCTAATACCTTTATCATGAAAGGGTGTTGAATTATGTCGAAGGCTTTTTCTGCATCTAGGGAGATAGTCATATGGTTTTTCTTTTTCTGTTTGTTTATATGGTGGATCACGTTGATAGATTTCGTATGTTAAACCATCCCTGCATTCCAGGTATGAAGCCTACTTGGTCATGGTGGATGATTTCTCTGATGTGTTCTTGAATTCGTTTTGCCAGTATTTTATTGACTATTTTTGCATCAGGGTTCATCAGGGATATTGGTCTGTAGTTTTCTTTCTTAGTTGTGTCTTTGTGAGGCTTGGGTACCAAAGTTATTGTGGCTTCATAAAAAGAGTTTGGCAATGAACCTTCTGTTTCTATCTTGTGGAACAGTTTGAGGAGTAGTGGTATTAGTTCTTCCTTGAATATGTGGTAGAATTCTGCGCTGAATTCATCTGGCCCTGGACTTTTTTTGGTTGGGAGGCTTTCGATGATTGCTTCTATTTTATTGCCGGTTATAGGTCTATTTAAGTTGTTTTTGTTCTTGATTTAATTTTGGTAAGTGATAGTTATCCAGAAATTTGCCCATTTCCTTTGAATTTTCAATTTTTGTGGGATACAGATTTTCAAAGTATGACCTGAAAATTGTCTGGATTTCCTCTGTGTCTGTTGTTATGTTCCCCTTTTGTTTCTGATTTTGTTAATTTTCATGTTCTGTCTCTGCTTTTTTGTTAATTTGGATAAAGGTTTGTCTATCTTGTCAATTTTCTCAAAAAAACCAACTCTTCGTTGCATTGATTTTTTGTATTGTTTTCCTGGTTTCTATTTTGTTGATTTCAGCCCTCAAGTTGATTATTTCCTGGCGTCTACTCCTGCGGGGTGAATTCGGTTCTCTGTGTTCTAAGGCTTTAAGTTGCTCTGTTAATTCTCTTATGTGACTATCCTCTGTTTTCTTCATATGGGCACTTAGTGCAATGAACTTCCCTCGTAGCACTGCTTTCAAGGTGTCCCATAAGTTCAGGTATGTTGTATCCTCATTCTCAATGAATATTAGAAAGTCCTTAATTTCTTTCTTTATTTCTTCTTTGACCCAGGAGTGGTGCAAATGCACATTGTTCCTTTTCCATGAGTTTGGAGGTTTTCTGCTATTTGTGTTGTTGTTGAATTCCAATTTTAAAGCATGGTGGTCCGATGAGATACAGGGGACTATTCCTATTCTCTTGTATCTGTTGAGGTTTGTTATGTCACCTAGTATGTGGTCGATTTTAGAGAAGGTTCCATGTGGAGCAGAGAAGAAGGTATATTCCTTTGTCTTTGGATGGAATATTCTATAGATGTCTGTTAACCCCAGTTGAGACATAAATTCTGTTAATTCTTTTCTTTGTTGAGTTTCTGATTTGTGGTCCTGTCTAGTGTTGAGAATGGTGTATTGAAGTCTCCCACTATAAGTGTGTGAGGTTTTATATGAGCTTTGAGTTTAAGTAGTGTTTCTTTTACGAATGTGGGTGAGTTTGATTAGGGGCATAGATGCTCAGAACTGAGACTTTGTGTTGATGGATTTCTCCCGCGATGAATATGAAATGACCATCTTCATCTCTTTTGACTAATTTTGTTTTGAAGTCTAACTTGTTAGATATTAGGATAGCTATGCCTGCTTGCTTCTTATTTCCATTTGATTGGAAAATCTTTTCCCAACCCTTTACCCTGAGGTAATGTCTATTTTTGAAGCTTAGATGTGTTTCTTGTATGCAGCAGAAGGATGGATTCTGTCTTCGTATCTATTCTGTTAGCCTGTGTCTTTTTATAGGTGAGTTAAGACCATTAATGTTGAGGGTGAGTAAGGACCATTGATTGTTGATGCTTGTTTGATTTAGGTTTGTTGTTGGCAGTGGTGTTGTGAATATATTAGTTCTGTTTTACCCTTGGTTTCTGGTGTAGTTGGATTATCTGTTGCCTACATTTTTGTGGGCGTAGTTACCTTCCTTGGGTTGGAGTTTTCCTTCCAATACTTTCTGTAGGGCTGGATTTGTAGATACGTATTGGGAAAACCTGGTTTTGTCATTAAGTATCTTGTTCTCTCCATCTATAGTGATTGAGAGTTTTGCTGGATATAGTAGCCTAGGCTGGCAATCGTGTTCTCTTAATACTTTTAGAACATCTATCCAGGACCTTCTGGCCTTGAGGGTTTCCATGGAGAAGTCAGGTGTAATTTTGATAGGTCTGCCTTTATATGTTACCTGTCCCTTTTCCTTCGCTGCTCTTAATATTCTTTCTTTATTTTGTATGCTAGGTGTTTTGATTATTATATGTCGAGGGGTCCTTTTTCTTTGGTCCAGCCTATTTGGGGTTCGGTATGCTTCTTGTACTTTCATAGGCATGTTCTTCTTCAGATTTGGAAAGTTTTCCTCGATTTTGTTGAATATGTTTTTGGCACCTTTGAGCTGGGCTTCCTCACCTTCCTCTATGTCTATTATTCTTAGGATTTGTTGGATTTATGATTTTCTTTGGTCGATGAATCTATTTCTTCTAGTTTATCTTCTGCCCCTGAGATTCTCTCTTCCATCTCTTGAATTCTGTTGGTTATGCTTGTGTCCGTAGTTGCCGATTTTTTGCCCAGCTTTTCAATTTCCATCCTTCCTTCCGTTTGTGTTGCCTTTATTTTCTCAATTTCAGTTTTCAAGTCTTGAACCGTTTCCTTCGCCTGGTTAATTGTTTTTTCTTGGCTTTCTGTACTTTCCTTAAGGAATTTGTTCATTTCTTCCACTTTTTTGTTTGTTTTTTTTCCTCCATTTCTTTATGGGATTTTCTCACATATTCTTTGAGGGCCTCTATCATTTTTATGATGGTAATTTTTAAGTCGTTCCCTTCTGCTTCCTCTGCTTTGTTGTTGTGTTCCATTCTAGTTGGTGTAGATTCCCTAGATTCTGGTGGTGTTATGCTTGTCTTTTGTTGTTAGGTGTTTTCTTGTATTGCCTTCTTCCCACAGCTTCTTCCAGTAGGTGTTGGTGGGGTCTCGCCCTCTCTCTATGGTACTTGCCCGGTGGGCTTATGTGGGTCTGAGATTCAATATCTGTAACTCTGTGTGGTCCAAGCTCTCTAGGAGGTTTCTCCGCAGACAGGGACCCAGGGATGGGGTCAAGGGTGAGGATCCAGTAGAAGATGCCAGCTGGTAGTCACAGTGGTCCAGCAGAGATAGGCAGATCTCTGGGAGGGGCCCCGGACTCCAGCAGAGGACTGGAGGTGGGGTCAGAGACCAAGCAGGTGGAAATTACTGGTGGTCCCTCGTGGATAGTCAGGTCTCCTTTGTTCTCCGAGAAGTCTTGGAAGTAGGGTGTTGGCTCCACCCTCTGTCCCAGTGCTCAACCAGGGCAGCAGGACCGTGGGTAGGGTAGGGGGGTAGGCTCGCGGTGGGGATGGGTGGGGTTGTATAAGAGCTGCAAGGGTGCTCTCGATGGGGACAGGAGACAGGAGCAGCAGGATCAGGGGCACGCTGATAAATCTCTTATTCTAAATTATTTGCCTTTAAATGTAATCAGGTGTTTCCTCTCATAACTTGTTTGTTTGTTGTTGATTGCTTTTTTAGATGTGATCTCATTCTGTAGCTATTCTGTCTTAGAATTCACTCTGAAGTTCCATCTGGCCTTGAAATTACAATGGTGTAAAGGCCACAACCTTCATAGTATATTTCTATGTTGAGATTTGCACATTTGTTGGAATGGATGTGGGTTACACTATTATGTCAACCCGCCTCAGTTAGTACCCCTTTCCTTCTATGTCTTGAGGTATCAGTTTGTTCTGTAGTATTGAGTTTAGTTGCAATTAGACTTCCTGCTGTGAAGTTTATGTGGAATATTTAGCAGTGATCAATAAGTTTTGACATGATGTGTACAATGTATGTGAGTCTGTGCACATAACTGGTTATCATGAAGAACCTTATACAACTCCTTGGTTCTCAAGTTTCTGAAAGTTGGATTCCTGAGGCTCCTATTTTTAAGGAAAGCACCTTCCTTTCCACTCAGCATTGCATTCTAATTTCCCACTGCACATAATTCTCAGAGGGATTGTGTCAGAATCTCTTCCCCCAGACCAACCTGACTCTAGGCTGCTGCCTACCAAACTAATACAATATTGCCTGGAAACTGTTTCGTATCTTTTGCTTGTGAGACATAACCAAACATGCACCCATTCCACACATGGAACTTACAACAGACCAAATATACAATACCACCAAATTCCAACTTGATAAACCGATGGTTTATTGTGGGCTACTTGCAGGAATGTGTGTGATGGGTTTGCAAATGCATAGATGACTCCAAGGTCATCTATGAAAATCACTGAAAGTCCCATCCTAGTACATGTGATGCTGCCCAAAAATTACCTCCTTGTAACCCCCTGTATTGTTTGAAGGCAACTCAACAGGTCAGAGAGCCTCCTCTCACCAGTAGTCTTTACTGCTTATATCACCTGGAAGGGGGGAGTATGTAATCTTGCATGTTTCAGTGACTTCTTGAGACTTGTGATTTGTTTAATTCCCAAGTCTTAGTGACCTTCCCTTCAAGATGGAATGCTTCAATTGGAAATCGCTACACAACATGGTTGCAAAGATAGGAAAATATAGGAACCTTCATTTCTCAGAGCAGTTAAGCATAGACAGTAAAACCCATCACAAGATGACTGCCCAATTACAACACTCTGAGAATAATCTTGGAAATACAGATAAATTCTCCAGAACGAGCTTACTGTACTGATTTTAACTCTCTTGGCTATCTAGACTGTCTTCCCCAGCCCCACAGTGTAATTTCTTATAGTTCTAATGCTAATTGCTGAGTGGTAATTAGTGCCACAGCTCAGAGGAAACCAAATATAAGTCAGAAAGACAGCACATTTTGACTCTCATGTATGCAACCTTGACTAAAAAGAAAAAAGAAAAAACTCTGCCATGAAAGAGGAAGGAGAACTGTGTCGGGGGACAGGGACAATGGGGATGAGAAAGAGTGGCAGAAGGACAAGTGTGGCTGAAGTATACACTGTGCATGTACGAGAATGTCATTAGGCATAGTATTTTCTTGAAATTATAAATGATTTTACCTTTTTAAATCTAGGCCTACAGAGGCTAACTTTAGAAGTCTGTTAGCTCATGCCAGGACTTCCATATACCCTGAGTACAAAAGTCTGCACTAGTGGTGCTCACTGAGGCATTTTTGTCTTTCACTCTTATCTCTTGGTGCACCTGCCAACTGCATGGCAGTTGGTCTTGAGACACCTCTTTTCTTAGAATTCTATCTCCAAACCCCAGCCATCTCTAAGACTCGGTCACTCTAGTATCACATTCTGCCACTGTCCTTTACTCATCCATCTACATAAGCAGGCAGGGTTCCTGTTTTGCTGCTAATATGAAGAAGCTGAAAGGCGCTAGGTTGCTTTAAGCTGTATCTTGAGTATCAGGTCTATTTGTAGAGTCCTCAGCAGCTTTCCTATGCTGACATCATTAGTATGGCAGTTATAAATAGATTGTAATAATGTCTGAGTATCTTTGCATTCATTACATTCATTATTTATATATAGTTTTTCCATTTTATCTAGAACATATATTTTTTATTTATTTCAGACACATGTGATGAACCTGAGTTCCAATGAGACATCATTACAATTTTCACCAATTCAAAAACAACAGGTATAACACATAGAGTTATTAGTGTAATTATGGTGGGTAAGAACAGTTTTAATTATCTTTCTTTGAAATTTTTTGGAAAGAAGTTAAAAAGGTAAACATTCAGTTGTATTAAAAATTAAAAGACAGGAATATCATTTGGTTGCTTTTATTGGTATATATTTTCTCATCGAATTTTATGGCTAGAACTTGCTCATCCACTTATTTACCTAAGTACACTGACCCATTTCTGTCAAGCAATAAATAGATAGTCATCATAGCTCTTATTTGGGAAAGAAGCTACTGTTTATCAGAATGTTAGTATATGACTTTGCTGAAGTCACTATGCAGACTTTACTGGATAATACATCTTGCTAGCTCTATAATTTTGTGGATCATTGTAGTGTAAATTGTTTGATAATTATTTACAAGATTTTGATTGGATTTTATTTATCAAGGAGGGATTAGCATAAAGCGGGATTTAAATGAAAATTAGGAAATAGTAAGCAGTTGTAGATAGGCTAGAGAGAGAGACTTTAGTTAGTAACAATGTCAGAAGCAAAAATCAGTCTGTGGCTTATACAACCCTAGACAAATGAAGACCTACTCTTCATTGTTTTATTTGTCCTGACTTTAGGGGCCAATGAAATAAAAATAAGAGGTATTTGAAAATTACTAAAATAAAGCAATTTATTTGATTTTGTTTTATTTTTTAAAGTTTTGACTTTGGAAATCATTTAATTTCTATTTTCTACTGCCTTCACTACATTGTTAGGTTAAAAATTCTTAAATGCAGATCCTATAAAATGCAGGGGGATCTTTCTGAGTTATAAAATCATATAGGCCACCCACTAAAATGAGGGGCACAGCAAGTGACAGCCCATCTTTGAACATGGGAGAGCTATTCTCTTGACGTGGCTGGCTAAACTCATGTGAGCTCACTACCACCATGGTTTACTGTGCCTCAAGTCCTTTGTCTTTCCTTCCCACTGTCTTAGATGCTAGGCTTGAATTTTTCTGGGTTGCTGCGAAAAGAAAGAGACATACAGTAAGAAATAAGTTCTGGCAGTTGGGCCTGGCTCCCTTAGAATTCAAATTTCAAATCTTTTTAAAGAACAGACCTAGAAACAGTAGAAATGGGAACCCCTTCTTTGTAAACAAATATGTAGTCCATATTTCACATACTGCTTTTATGTTTGCTCTGTAAGGCCTACTTTAGTGAGTAAAAATGGTTGTATTTGTTATGCTATTTCTGTATATTAGCCTGTTAATTTGTAATCATGTTGTAATAATTTATTTGGCAAACCAATGAACCCCCAAGCCTAGCATCTATCATAGTTTATAAAGTTTAACTTAGTGAGCCTTCACCACCAGTTAGCTTATAGATGCAAAATGTATTATCTTTATAGTGGTTTATATAACTGTGACACCTTTGTCTACTAATAATAGTATGATGGTTACTTCAAACACTTTACAGAATCAAGACACAGTTGAGAAAGTGATGGAAAGTGAACCTGGTACTGAAATTGATGATAGTTATGAATATGAAGAGATGTCAAAAATACAAGAAGGGACAGTATACAAACAATATTTAGCAAAAGGGATCTTCATGATACGACCACCTGAGATTATGGGAGCATTTTCAGATGATGAAGTAGATAATGACCTAGACCTGGCAGATCCTCAGGTCAACACTGATGAAAATGATTTCCAAAAAGAGGAACTAGAACAGGAAAGTATTGAAGAAATGGTCCCTGAGAAGAAAATGGAAGTGATGGAAATGACAGATGTGAAAGATATTAGTGAAAGGGAAGACAATGCAAAGTCAGATCCATTTTTTGATGACTTACAAGATAAAGACATGACTACTGAGAGTGAAGAGAATACAGATATTGTGCAGGAAAGGGAAGGCAGTGAGCAGAACTTGATCTTTGATAGTGAAACAGAAGTGTTAGAAGAACCAGACAGTTACATGGAATATGAAAGGCCAAGTCAGCTAGACAGAGCTGAGGAGTTGGAGCAGCCCAAGTCAGTAGAACCTAGTAGTGATGAGAAAGATGACGATGAAGTGGAAACTGAGCACTGCTTATGGTACAGCAGGAAATGTGCTGAACAAGAAAGTGAGAGTGAACCCAAAGCAACCAGATTTGTTGCAAAATATGATCTTAAGCATGACCACTTGTCAGGGATACCAGAGGAGCAGGAAGGACCAGAAGACACAGAAGGAAATGCAATAGTGGAGCAAGAGATTGATATACAAGAGGAAATTGTGGAATTGGAAGGAGAAAGAAATGAGGCAATATCAGAAACCCTGTCAGATGTCAGTACAGAAAAAGAGGTGAGTGGAAGTGAGGGAGAATCACAGGGAGAAGTGGAGGATGGATCTGAGGGTGAAAGGGATCAAATCTGTGAAAAGGGTAGTTTGAGAGCAGAACAGCGGCAAAGGGTGCGGGGAAAACAAGAGAGTAGGAGTAAAGGAGAAAGACATATCTTGTTTATGGAAGAGAAAGACTTAGAAGAGGTGGAAGGATGGGAGAAGGAGGGTGAGAGGGGAGAGAAAATGGAGAATCATGAAGGCAGCCAAGAGGAAAGAAACCAGGAGATACAAGCAAGAGAAGCAGGGGGTGCAGGAAATGGAGAAGAGGAAGGTGAGGATGAAGGGGAAGAATCAGAGGGGGGGAGGGAAGAGGAAGAGGAAGAAAGAGAAAAAGAGGGAGGAGAAGACACATCAGAGGAGAAGAGTGGGCGGGAGGAAGGGGAGGGAAAGAACAAGGAAGGAGATAAGAAAGAGAAAAAAAGAGAAAGGGAAATAAAGAGAGGTGAAGAAGGTGAGGGAGAAGGGTTGAAGGAAGGAGAAGAGGGAGGGCAAGGAGAAGAAGGGGAAGGAGAGGACAAGGAGGAAAGAAACAAAGCAAAAGGAGAGGAAGAGGGAGGAGAGGAAGAGGAAGGAATGGAGGAAGGGGAAGGAGATGAAGAGAGGGAAGGAGAGGAGGAGGGGGAAGGAGATGAAGAGAGGGAAGGAGAGGAGGAGGGGGAAGGAGAGGAAGAGGGGGAAGGAGAGGAAGAGGGGGAAGGAGAGGAAGAGGGGGAAGGAGAGGAAGAGGGGGAAGGAGAGGAAGAGGGGGAAGGAGAGGAAGAGGGGGAAGAAGAAGGAGAGGAGGGGGAAAGAGAGGAGGAGGAAGGAGATGAAGAGGGAGGAGAGGAGAAGGGAGAAGGAGAGGAAGAGGGGGAAAGAGATGAAGAGGGGGAAAGAGAGGAGGAGGGAGAAGGAGAAGAAGAGGGGGAAGGGGAGGAGGAGGGAGAAGGAGAAGAAGAGGGGGAAGGAGAGGAGGAGGGGGAAGGAGAAGAAGAGGGGGAAGGAGAGGAGGAGGGGGAAGGAGAAGAAGAGGGGGAAGGAGAGGAGGAGGGGGAAGGAGAGGAAGAGGGGGAAGGAGAGGAGGAGGGGGAAGGGGAGGAGGAGGGGGAAGGAGAGGAACTAGAAGAGGAGGAAGGAGAAGATGCAGAGGAAGGAGATGAGGAAGAGGGACAAGAAGGAGGAGAGGAAGAGGGAGAAAGAGGAGAAGAGAATGGAAGGTGTGATGATGACAATGAGGAGGAGGAAGCATATAGTGGGGAAGAAGGGGAATATGAGGAGATAGGTGGAAGAGAAGATGACAATGAAAGTCGGGAAGATAGAGATCAGTCCCAAAAAGTGAGTAAAAGAAAAGGTTCTATGAAACATGGCCGATATGGGGCATATTCAGAAAAGCCCATTATTAAACCAGGGAGAAGGGGGAAAGAACAGAGGTCTAAAATGCCAGTGGGGTCAAAACAACTTTCAGATAAAGGACACCCAGGTTCCAAAAAATTCTGGAATAATGTTTTACCACTTTATTTGGAATTGAAGTAACAGAATAAATTTGACCTGATTGTGGACAACATAGCCATTTGTATGCCTGATGTATAATAGGTATACTCACTCCAAATTACTAAACTGATCTGTTACTATGGTACTTTTATACATGGTTAAAAAAACAACTGATGTCAGTTGTACTAAGGAATCAAAGGCAACAGGAGGCAATGTTAAGTCTTGACTCCTCCTAAACTCATATCAGTTCCCCCCAAGTTACTAAACTATAACTAGAAAATATTAAAAGGCTATTTGTTATACTTAATAATGTATATTCATCATGAATGACAGATCTCTATACTAAAAGCATACTATAAGTACTATGTATATAAACATCTTTTTAAAAGAGTACAGATTCTTAAGGGCTCTCAAAACTTCTGATTTTTAATAAGTATTTAAGTACCCCTTTTAAGTCTCTGCAACCTAGAATAGCTTTATAATAATTGATGATAATTGAAGATAATGGATGATATTTGGTGATAACTGAGGTGAGATTTCCTATTTTAAAGGATTGATATTTCCCTTTACTTTTGTGTCCATTTTCATAAAAATCTAAGGCCTGTTTATCAGGCCTTAGAAGCTAATGATGTTATCTTTTGCAGTTGCTGCCTAGGCATTTGACAGCATAACTCATGAAATGGCAGTCAACTTAAACACATAATATAGGGCCTCATATGAGTTTAAATGTTTCAAGGAAGAAAATTATACATTAAAATTATTTTTCTGCTCTTAAAAGTTATAATAACTTTAATGTCTCTTGTGTTTTGTAATTGTAAATTTCTGAATTCAAGTAATTTCTGTTTTAAATCCACCATCAGAGTGTTCATTCTCCATGTGTGTTATGTGTCCTCAGTGTGTTTTTATTGACTTTTTAAATTGTTTTTCTGTTTCCTATCAGAATGTTTCAAGTAAAATAAAAATTAAATGTATATACTCAGTATTGTTTGTGGAAAGAAAAACTGTCTAACATTAGATACTGAATTTATGAAAAGCCAGGCTCCACTAGATTTATATAATGTAGCTAGTTTGATTGTATAACCTTACCCTCTTTTTTTAATTGATTTCCTTTCTCATCCCGTTCTACACCTTGGGCATGAGTGATTTCTTATACATTTTTCAAGGAAGACTTTTACGGTAATGTTTGTGGATTTTATATAGTTGAACTCCATATATTTGATTCTCTGTAAGAACGAACATGAGGTAAACGACAAGAATCACATGATGTAGCATTTCCTTAGAGAAATCAGTAAATTATAAGTTGCTGCAAAGATAGTTCGTAGCATCCCTGGAGTAATGGACTACATTGTTTTGACACTGCAGCCCTTGACCCAAATCTACCATATTGGTTGTTTGTAGAGTAGAACTAATAGTATGGTAAAGTATGGGTACCAAAGGTGATTATTTTAAAATTTCAAAAGAATAAATAAGAGGGATGGCAGACATGATGTTCATGAAGGAAATTCATAAGAGAATATCAGGGAGATGAGAATCTAAACTTTCAGTTATTTATGGCAAAGCATGATCTTCCAAGAAGAGAATCAGCTGGCAGTACTGAAGTCATGTTCTTGACCACACCCATTTAATCATTTGAACTGATATAGCCACTTTTGAGGAGCATGTCTTACCAATGTCTTTGCGTTTCCCTGCCCAAAAACTTGGTGCAAACTTTAGAAGTAGTACTTCCTACAAGTTATGGTCAAGAGCACTTAAATAATCATTTTGAGTTCAAGGCCCTACTGGCATGTGCTTTCAAGCTGTATAAAGTCACCTCTGTCTTCTTTGCCTCTGTAAGGGTCTGTTTTTTTGGTTTTGGTTTTGGTTTTGGTTTTTCTAGAAACATACAGAACAAGAATGGGAGACCTAAGTAATATAAGCAGCTTTATTAGAGCTTTGTCACACCAAAATTTCTACTATCCTTGTTCCTCAATTTTAAAATAAGGCTTGTTTAGTCCCCCAAATCATTTAGTCTTCAAGCAAATGAAAAGTTATATGAAGTGAACAATAGCCCTAAACGAAGCATGCTGACTTTCTCTGCCCAGTGTTCAGCTGCCACTTACTAAACTATACATGTGGCAGGCCTAATACCCTCTAAAGTTGATGGATAGGAATTTGGTGGTGGTTAGTGATGCATTGAGACAGGGTTTAAAAGAACATAAGCTTTCATAAGAAATTATTCCATATTCATGAATCTCATCATTAGAGAAAAAGAAAAATGAGGAATAAGACTGCTTAATCCCTTTAGACTTGCCAGCTGGTTACATAGAATTCAATAGCTTGTTCTTTCTTATTTATTTTGTTTTTGAGACAGGGTCTCTCATCGCCCAGGCCTGCTTAGTACGTTGTTCACTAAGTAGCCAAGGGCAGCCTTGAACTTCTGATCCTTCAGTCTCTACCCCTCCAGTGCTGGGATTACAAGCATGGTAAATCTGCTAATTGTTCAAGTGTTTGCTATAGTTTTCTAATCACTGCTGTGGGGAATGTGAGATACTGTATATGTAGACTCCCTTGAGTTACAGTTTCCTAATGTGGACTCTGGCAGAAAGAGACTTTCAGGTAAGCTTCAGAGAATTTCTGTAGAGCATCTGTGGCTGATCAACATCAGCCATCAAGGTGAGTGACCCTGAAGTATGTTTTGATTGGTAATGATTCACTGTAAAGATCAGCTTACATGGCGTGTGCTCTCTCCCCCTAATGCAATAGTGAAGGAAGGTGCTGTAATCTTTTCTTTCATTCTTTTCATTGTGAAAATTCAGTGTCATATGGCATGATTAGTTCCTATGAGATAATTTAATGTTTGGTACATATTATTGGATCAAGTATTTATGTATCTGTCACCAAAAAATTGAGTGGTCTTACTCAAGTCAGATAGACCTCAAAATGTGAGGGCAGGTTACAATACCGCCTATGGCCCTCTTCCCCCACCCCCCATCATAACTGCAGTAAGACTAAAGATGCAGTTTTCCAAAGAACACTTGGAAACACCAATGCCATGATCTTTTTCATTTTTATCATGTTTTTTCTTAATTATAATTCATGACTATTTCTTAAAAGTGCTATTTGTTTTTCATAAACAGAAATCCTTTTCCCTAGTAACTTGTTCTTGAACTTAAATTTTGGAGTCAAAGCATTTTTTTAATTTATTATTTTACATGTCGATCCCAATTCCCTCTTCCTCCTTAGCTCCCTTCCTCCCTCCTTCCCTCCCTCCTTCCCTCCCTCCTTCCCTCCTTCCCTCACTTTTACCCTCTCTGCCCTCTCACATGCACTCTATCCACCCTCCCCTCCCACCCCCCCCCCGCCCAAATTCCATATGTAGGGGAATGCCCTACTTCTGTGTCCTCAGCCAAAGTCACCTTACGATGAAAATTTACCTCTAAAATGCATGCATAACTTGCATTTTTTCAAATGGAGTAATTAAAGAGAAGTTTTGTGTCTTGGCTGTGTAAGACATGAGATATAGCCCCTGACTTCAACAGGAAAATTCATTAGTACAAGCAGAGTCACTTGAGCTCCCATGTGAAAGGGTTGTGAAGGAACTTGTCAGGAGTGGATTCGGAAACTTTGAAATGAGTCATGTTAATTAGAATTTAGCAATCAAAGGGTCTTACATACTCATACAAGATGTTACAGGAAAAAGAATAAGGTAACCACACTTGAGGTTTTATACGGTTATTCTTATGGCAATATGAAAATGATTTGAAGCAGACAGAACTACATGGATGGATGCTAGGAGCCAGTTATGGTAGACCAGGTAAAGAATGAAATAGATGTGGTATAGGACAGTGGGGATGAAGGATGTGGGGATATGTATTAGGCAGCTGGAGGGCATAGAACAAAGATGTATCTAGGAGGGAAAGGGAAGGTAAAACCTCTCTTTTTTTCTGGCATAGCGAACTGAGTGGAAAGAGTGCTGTTTACTATGACTGCAAATAAGTGAGTAGGAACAGTCCAGGAAGACAGTTGTGCATGTGCTAGCTTTTGATGGTCTCCAGCAGATGTTCATTGTGTAGGTCACCATATGTGTCTGGAGCTCAATAGAAGTTGCTGGGGATCACTAGCTTAGTCATATAATTAACTGAATCTAGTGCAAGTAACCCTTTTGTGAATATAGCACTTCAGACAGGATGCAGGGAAAATATCAATTGGTGGTTAGACACAGTGGTTCTCAACCTGTGGGTCATGACCTATTTGGGGATCACATATCAGCTGTCCTGCATATCAGATACTTATATTACAATTCATAACAGTAGCAAAATTACAGTATGACTGAGAGTCACTGCAGTATGAGGAAGATTGAGAAAAAGAAAAGTAAAAGAACAGTAATTAAGTTGAGAACAAAACTTAGAGAAAAGATGTGGGGTATATTCTAGGAAAGTAAAATGCTACCCAAGCTAAGAATGGGTTTCAAAGAAGAATTGATAGCAGCAAAAGAGTATTGTGGCCTGATGGAGGGGCAGAGCAAACACTAACAGGAGAAAAAAAAAAAAGCAAAAGAAGTCCAGGAAGTCTGCCTTGCAGAAAAACAGAATCCAAACTAACTACACTTTACATTCTGAAATTGATCTGCCAGAGCTGTTTGTATGGTTCTCAGATCAGGATGGGAGATATGCAATGCAGAGACTTGGATACTATGGATAAGACTTCTTAACTTTTAGTTTGCAGTTTATACAAACAGTGAAACATGAGATAGGGTGTTGGAAACTTAGGAAATAAAATAATCTGCAATGTTTAAAACATCAGTGAGTGGAGAGAACATGGCTCTTATGATCTTCAAATTATTTGGACAGAGTTAGGGGAAGAATAGAGACTCTGCAGTCCTGAATTGTGAACTCAAGCCCAGCCCTCCACTGATTATCTTGTAGCCACTGAGAAAGAGTTTTAACTTTTAGTGCCTGAAGCACAGAGAAGTTGATCTCACTCATGTGGTTACCATAAAATGTATGGCTACAAAAGGAAGTAAATTGTCTAAGGAAAAAATAATGAGAATGACATATAAATATAAATATGAGAATAAAAATGCCTATCACTGCAATGTACACTACTCTGAACATTACATTCACTTTTGTAGACTTGCTTCTCCATCAAACTGCAATGTGTACAGTAGTTGCAGTAAAAGTTTGGGAATGAAATAAGGAATTGTGTGTAGAAAAAAACAAGACTGCTTTTATGTATAAAGTTATGTCATAGGAAGAATACAGAGATCAAACTGGCAGCTTGTAGGTATACTCTGGCTTGTAGACTTTATTTTTGCTTCCTGTACAAGTGATTTCTTCTAATTCAAATTGTTTGCCAGTATTGAAATAAAGCAGATTTTATATATATATATATATATATATATATATATACATATATATATATATATATATAATCATGTAATTTGAGAACAAAGCATAAATATTTAGATGTCAAGTAAAAGAAATGTTTGTTTGACTTAGCTCACCATCTAATACACTGTTTACAGCAACAATGGAATGTTACTGATCCTTGTTAGTTTCAATTTCCTATAGCAAAAAAGCATCATGCTTAATGCTAGCACGGGTGAAAAGCTATAGGATCTTTGATTTTTTTCATTAAAATACAGGATTTAATATGAACAATTAGATACTTCTCTGCAAGATGTCATTTGTTACCTTAAGCATCAAGTCACAATGATCAGTTAAAAAGAAAAAAAAAACTTGAACCTATAATAACTTCATTAAAAAAAAACTAAATATTCCATAGTTATATGCCAAAAAGTCTACAGTGTGTGACAGCATGTTAAAAAGCTTTAAAAGAAACTCCATAACTTTGCCCAAACTGTTATAAAATTTTGATTACAGAATCACGTTTTTGAGATTTTAATATAATCAAAACATTTTTCCCTTCTCCTTCTTCCAAAACTTCTCATATATCACTTCTTGCTCTCTTTCAATGTCATGGATTCTTTTGTCATTAATTGTTAGTATATGCATATATGTATATACATATGTATTCCTAAATATAACCTGTCAAGTCTGTATAATCATACTCATATGTGAGTAATCAAATGTATATTTTCAGGGCTGACCATTTGGTATTAGATAACCTATTGGAGTGCACTTTCCTTGGGGAGACTAATTCTACTCTGAAGATTTCTCAGTTGCCTCTAGTTCTTTGTGTAGGGTTGAGGCTTGTGGACTTTTCTTTGTTCACATTAGCATGTCTTTTGGTGCCTTTGTCCAGCTCATGTTTAAGCTGTCATGTTGTTAAGACTTTGTGGGTGTCTCTTCTCGCATTACTAAAAGACATAGTCTCAAAGCAACCTTTCTGATCCTCTGGCTCTTTTGGTTTTTCTGTCTCCTCTTCTAAAATGTTCCTGGGCATTAGGGGTGGAAGTTTATATAAATATACCTGTTGGGACTGGGCTCGCCAATAGTGGATTTTGATTAGTTGTGGTTTTCTGTAATGATCTCTCCATCTGTTTCAAAAAGAAGTTCCCTTGATGAATGGTAAGCACTACACTTATCTGTGGGTATAAAGACAAATGTCTATATTGCTATTAGTGATAGTTAGCTTAACAAAGTAGTGGTTAGTGGTTAAAGGTTGTCCTTTAGTATCCATGACTTCACTAGCACTGAGTAGTTGCCTAGGTTTCCAGTATCAGACATGGTTTCCCTCCTTTTGAGCAGGTCTTAAGTCCTATTAGAGAACTGTTGGTTATTGCCAAGGTATGTGTGCCCCTACAGCACCCTTCAGGTTGTGGAGCTATGCCCATCATTGTTCTGGTTCATAGGCATCATAGCTTTCTAAGAATGTTGGTTGCTTCCCTCCTTTGGAAACTTGCCTGGTGTCTTCTAGTACTATGAAAGCTAGTGTTTTCAAGTCAGTTTTAGCCCTGAAGCCTCTAAGGCCCTGAATTCCATTGCTTGGAGGCAAGCAGGGAAAGTAGCAACAGCTTATATGTTTTGGGAGTCTCTTGGGCAGCCCTGGCAAACAGCTCAAAGGAAGGCTTCTCATGTCTGCTGCTGGGATATTTGTTAGTTGATCATTGACTCTGAGAAAGAGCATTGTCCGCCCAAATGAGAAATTTTCTTTTAATCTATATATGTATATTTATACACAGTTACATGTATTATAGATTCTTTTAGATAATTAATAGTATCATTCTTTTGATGTTTTCATACATTAATATTGTTAGTTTACCCTCCTTTTTCCTTGTGTGTTTACCTCCTTTCCCTTCTCCCTAAAGATTCCTCTTTTGGAGGGCTTTAGCTTCATTGATCACTAAATTTTAAGGCTCCTATGGCCTAAAACTTTATCCCATGGTAACCTATCTTCATTGGTCACTGTGGTCCCATGGCTGTTTCTGGTAAGCACAGAACATCCTTCTCCATGCCTGTCTTAGCAACCAAGGTATTAATCTAGATTAAGGATTTTGGAGATGAAGGGAGAAAATGTGGGTAGGTAACTGACCCATTTTATATTGATAAGATCTAGGACATTGTACCAAATGGAAATATCACAAGGAACATTAACTTTTTTGATATCCTTCACAAGTAATACAAAGAATATTGCCATGAGACAAACCAAAGACCAGTGTAATCAATGAAGTTATGGTTCAGTTGTATTTGTCTGACCTATTGATGTCTTCACTGTGGTCCTAAGACAAGACATTTACTTGACCATTCCATACTCTCTTTTTAAGAATGTATTTAAACTTTAACTTTTCTGTTTATAAAATGACAGTATTCTGCCAGTCTCTCCTAAGTTATCTTATTTTAAAGGTAAGTATTTTCTGTGGTTTATAGTAGTTATCCAGGTATCTTTAAATTTTTAAATGTGCTTAACAAGTTCAAAGTGCTCCAATCTGCGTGACTTTTAGTGAAAAATGCCATGTTTAACAGCATTTAAATGTGTTCATTATCTTTTTTTCTGGGTCATAAGTAGCTGTGCTTAACTCATTCATGAAAAATGAATTATAAATTTGGGGTGAGAGGAACTCTAATTCCCTGTTTTGGAAAACAAACATAATACATAGATATGTTGTAGTAAGGAAAAAGCTTTTTAATTTCTCTCAAGCTTAAGATCATTCTTTGGAAAAAGCTAAGAAAATACATTTTTTCCATGTTGGCCTTACTATAGTTGCTAACAGATTTTCAGGAACACTAGGCATTGTCATACATCAGCAGACATACCCGGAGCAATAGCCATGAAATCATTAATGATGCAGTATCTTGATGCTCAGTGTGGATTCTACAATATTCCATACCTTTGGCTTCTAAATGTCATTTGATAGTGTACACATTCATTGAGATTATCATATAGGTTTCAAGAGCATTATCTTATATCTATTCATTTAAAAAAGGAAATTGTATAATCAATTTTGTCACAGGATCAGCAAATTTTAGAAACTGTGAAATCAGAACCAGGAGACATGGATGAGCAAATTAGTGCCCCAAATGTAGAAGACATTGTGGAAGAAGAAGAAGAAGAAAAAGAAGAAGAAGGAGAAGGAGAAGAAGAAGAAGGAGAAGGAGAAGGAGAAGGAGGAGGAGAAGGAGGAGGAGGAGGAGGAAGAGGGAAGGAAGAAGAGAAGGAAACTGTAGAAGAAAACTTCCCTGAAGTTGGCCTTCCTGAAACAGAAGGCATAGAAACTATTGATGCCATCGATGCCAACCCAGATGAAATCCTGAAAGAGGTATAATGACAAGGGTTTCTGTCCTGAATTAGCACCTAAGGGAAAGGAGAGGATAGGTTGCTGTTTCCTATGGTAGCAGAAGTATATTTATGTGTCACTTCATTCATAAACTGAAAAAGTAGGTTTATCTAGACTAGGAATTAAGCAAACCTTGTCTCTAGCACACTTGCCACACTGCTAGGTAGTATTTTATTCCTACATGAGTAGAAATGGTTACAGGTGGTATATATGCTCTTGGGAAGTGAACTAGAAAGTTGGATATCTGTCTTTGAAATGCTTATGATAAAGTTGAGAACCTAGGTGCTGGTCACAGAAATTATATGTGTCATGTGCATATATTCATACATACACACATGCAAATGCAGAATGCTACAACAGTATTTGAGTTCATAACCAGTTTGTCATGGATGCAGTCTGCTGACAGTACTCAGATTAATTTCAGAGGTGTGGAATGCTGAAACCCAAATGAAATGGCATTGTGTTCATTTTCACCTTCATGACTGCTTTCAGAAAAAACTGAGTTAGTTATGATAAAATACTCTCATTCCTGCTCCATCAAACTCTTAAAAAAAAAACTCATTCTCTTTCTAACAGAAACAACTACCAAAATATATTTAACATGCTATTTTAATGTGTACTTTTAAAGTACATATTGTATATTGTGTTCCTATTTTTTTTTTAAATTTTCAATAGTGTCTCATAGCTCAGGCTGGCATCAACCTCACTATGTAGCTGATGATGGCCTTGAACTCTTGACCCCCCCATGTCTCCACCTCCCAAGTGCTGGCATTAAAGATATGCTAAATTATGTGCCTGCCATTTTTAATTTAAAAGGTACTATTGTCATGTAAAAGTCATGTTTCTTTGTTTCTATATTTCTTAAGGCTCTTTCACTGAGAAAACATTTGTTCAGTTTTCTTACAGAAAGAAAAAATTATCCTGCTTGTGGGAACTTTTGTTAACTCAGATTTTGGTGATCAGTAAAAAAAAATAACACTAAGCACTCATTTATTATTACAAAATTTTGACAAAAATTGTGTGCCATTTAGCATTCTTTAGTCATAGATGATGAAATCATATAGTTTTCTTAAATCCATAACTATTTTTTAAAGATGAGGTCTCGCTTTATAGCCCTAGCCATCCTCAAACTTGCTATGTAGACCAGACTGACCTTGAGCTGTGCAAACTACCTGCTTTTGCTCTCTGAAAATTATAGACATGTGCCACTGTATGTGGTTTAGAGTCACTGAGGGCATTAGCACTCACTGAGCATCTGAGGATTCCTATTTCATAGGATCCCAGCAAAGTGAAGCATTTATCACATACCTGTGGTGTTAATTAGAGGCAGGATATAGAAATGTGCTTTTAAACCAATACTAGGTTTTCTAACAGAGCACAAATATGGGAGGAAAGTTCTTTTGTTTGTTTGGTCATACTGTTTCTTTATTGTTTTTAGGAAGGCAATGTCAGCCTACTGAAACGGACTCTTCGTGAATACAATGAAAATCCAAAAGGTATGAGCACATTTGACTTGAAAATGGTATTTAAAATTAATCTTATTTTTAATTACATGTTTATGTATATGTGTTTGTGTGGAAATCCTTGAAACCCAGAGTTTCAAATGGGTTGGAAGTTGTCTGATGTGGCTGCAGAGAACTGAATCTGTAGCTGCTGACCCATCTCTCCAGCCCCTCAACCACTTAATATCATTTTTATCATCAATGAAATACACAATGTGGACAAAAAATGCTGTTCCAATATTACATCTGTTTCCCATATTTCTCTAAAACCTTGAAATTGGGAGATTACTGAGCTAATTCTATGAAAGGGAATGGAGGGAAACAGTGGTCCATGTCTTTCTAGTGTTAGAAGTACAAATGATAGTCTTGCTTGACCAGGACATTTGAGTGAACATGTAGAAAGAAATTTCCACTTTCCTAAGTAAGCTGTGATGGACATAGACTCGCAGAGGTCAGAAGTAAACCATAGATAATAGTTTTAAGGAGATAAGATTCTTACTGTGTTTATTTTCACATGACCCTTTAAATAGATTTACCCATTTTTACTTTTACTTTTTCGGCTTCTTTAGATGCACCACTCTACATTTATTACCCATGGGTGCTTATGTGAACTGCACAAGGATTTAGAATTAAATCAACCTCTTCTTCCCTCTGCTCAACCAGTATTAAGTTAAACCCTTTGCCTCAAAACCCAATTTAATCTCTGTCAAATACTAAGGACTTCTTGGCACAAGTTAATATGAGTAGGCTATTCTGCAGCCCAGTTACTTCCCCCAGGACCTGTACCTATGTCTAATGTCACCATAGGCCCTGAGGAAATATCTGAAGTTTGTCAGTGTGGCAGCAGGTGCACATAAGGCAGGAGACTGATTATACTCTGTGTCTGTGCTGTAAGTCTTGTCTGCTAACGTTTTTACATCACCACTTTGCAAAAAGGAGTTCTTCATTGGTCTAACTAATAAACCCTGGTACTTTACAGTGTGCATTCTACTGTGTTCTCATTAGAAAGAACTCTTCATGGGCTTGGGGTGTAGCTCTGTGGTAGAACCAAGACCCTGGGTTTGATCCCCAGTACCTCAGAAATAAATAACTATTCATGGTACTGATTATCTGATATGAGCTAAAGAGGAAAAACTAGTTTCCTCTATTGTTTTGTTCTTATGATTTCTAAACAACAGCATAGTAACTTTTAGATTAGTTTTAGTAAAATGCTAAAATATTACCATCTTTAAGGATTCTTAGAAGTTGGAGAAGAACCTAAATATAAGCTTCAAATAGTTAAGCATATCAAACCAGATAATATAATGCTTCATGAGTTCTCTTAAAGATTATTGTTTAGCTATATTAGCTATATTCTTCAGCCATATTGTCCAGCTGGATTAGCTTGGAACATCAAAAGTAACATGTTCATTTAAGTGCAAAGAATCAAAATAAAATGGTTAATAAAATCAGTAATGTTGAGGCCGAAAAAGTAGCCTGGTCATTAAAACCCTGGCTGTGTAATCATGAAGACCTGAATTGGTAGTTCCATCTCCCACATTAAAGTTAGCTATACTGACATACTCCAGTATTCCTAGTGCTGGGAAGAGACACAAGAGGGTCTCACAAACCTGCTAGCTAGTGTTGCCCAGTGAGTGAATTTCGGGTTCAGTGAGAAAACCTGTCTCAAAACCTAAGGTGGAGAGCATAAAGGAAGACATCAACCATTGTACTCTGGCCTACACACGCACACACACACACAGATGCCCCCCGCCACAGACTTTTTAAAACAGTTCATATTTTCATGTTTTCTTCTAGTACATATTTCACATCTCTAGCATTTCCTAATAACTCTTCATAGTAGGAAATATTTGGATACTCATAATCCAAATGTTTTTGTGTTGGTTAAGTTATTCTGGACATCTAACCATAACTGACTGCAGTTTTCAGGAGCTGTGGTGTGACATTGCCCACTTCTCCAGTGGTGAGCTCTTTTTGTATTATCTCACAACTTAGAGTTGATAGAGTTTTCCTGAAAACATCATGACTTTTCTTTCTCTTTAGTTAGAATGATTTTTTACATGTATCCAATTGTAGGACACATGTATGATCGTATAAAGAGCAGTTCTTCAGAAGTTCTGGGAGGTATTGAACCAACAAGTAAAGACATAAAAAAATCTAAAAAGGTAAGTGAAATGAATGTTTGCATTTTGGTGGTAAGACTGAAGTATTGGACCAGGCATTGGTGGTGCATGCCTTTAATCCCAGAACTTGGGAGGCAGAGGCAGGCGGATCTCTGTGAGTTCCAGGACAGCCTAGACTACAGAGTGAGTGTCAGGATAGGCTCCAAAGCTATGCGGAGAAACCCTGTCAGCAAAAAAAAAAAGAAAAAGAAAAAAAGAAAAAAAAAAGAAAGAAAGAAAGAAGAAAGAAAAAAAAGAAAAAAGAAAAAAGACTGAAGTATTGAATTTACATTCTACTTTTCCTATGATAATCTACATACTATGAGTTCCTTAATTAGTTTTATAACCCTAATATATACAAAGGGTTTAAAGTGGTGATTTATCTGTTTAGTCAGTTAACTTTCTTTTGTTATCATTTGCCTGGTAGAAATATTTTACCCTTACTTTTTACTTGTATTTTAGATGGGGTCATTGTAAGTAGCCTAAACAGCTAAATTTTTGCTTTGAATATTTTTTATGCACACCTAATGTCTGGATTAAACAATATTCTTCTCTTTTTCTCAGATAATAGCAGAATCTTAAAATAGTCTTCGGCCTTGCCATCCCTACTTTCCTATTTTGCAAATTACTGTACCCACGGTGTTTTAATTTTATTAATGTCACAAACCATGTTGTTACCTGCTTTTGATACCATATGCTTTGTTCATCATTACTTTTTACTTCTCAGATGTCCTTTCTGAGTTCCTTATTTTCCCTGAAGAAATCCTGTGCAAGTTCTTTTCATAGATATCTTTTGGTAGATCACACTTTGCATTTTCTGTTAGCTTGAGTATATTTCTATTTAATCATAGTTCTTGAATGATAAATAGTATGGCTAGTTGGCTAGTCTTGTATCTGTTTTAATTGTTGCTATTAAGAACTTTACTGTAGAAGTAGATTAGAGGTATAGCTCAGGTAGCCCAGTTGCCTAGTGTGCTTGAGACCCTGTATTCCTTCCCCAGCGCTGCAAAACAAATATTATTTTAGCATAATTGTAGAGAGCTTGGTATATAACCTGTAATTTTATCTGTGCTTCTTTTTGAGATTGTCTTTGTCCATTGTAGTATGCATATATGTATTTTTTTTAATTTTAACTTAGTTGAAATTTATTATAACCTGTAAACCTGAGAAGTCATTGAATTTATATTTTTAACCTTTGTTTTTGAACATTTGCATTTGAACAATTAGACATCTGTTTCAGAATATGGCATAATCATTTTCTTTCTTTTGTTTGTGTTTTTTTAATCTCAATTTAATAGTTTTGGCTTTGGATATTTGGGGCAATTTCCTTGTTTCTATTGATTTTATATTTTCTCTTTTGATGAAACTGTTCTGCTTTTTTTGAATACCTTTTGGTTACTAATTTCAATGGGTTTTTCTCATTTAAAAAAGATTTATTTTTATTTTCTGACTATGAATATTTTACCTGCATACATCATATGCATACAGTGCACATAGAGGCTAGAAGAGGGCACCAGAGTCCCAGAAACTCGAGCTAACAGAGGATTTTGAGCCAACACATGGGTGCTGGGAATTGAACCCAGGTCCTCTAAAGGAACAACATGACTTGACTGTTGAGCCATCTCTCCAGTCCCATTTCTTTTAAAGGTTTATTTACATGTTTTGCCTGCATGCATGTCTGAGCATCACTTGTGTACAATGCCCTCAGAAGCCAGAACATGGATGGCATCACATGCCCTGGAACTGGGGTTATAGCCTGTTAGCTGCCATGTGAGTTCTGGGACCCAAAGTTGGGCCCTTCCTAAGAGCAACAAATACTCCTACACTACCTCTCCAGCCTTTTCCCCATTGCATTTTAAGTGAACTTGTGTTTATTCTATTTTACAAGTGTTATGATATGTTCTGCTTTAAATAAATTAAGTAAACTCATTTTCTATTTTTTACTTCTCAGTTTTAATGTCAGCCACCTTCCAATGTCAAAAATCTGTGTATCGCTTTGGCTCACTTACTACTAATAGTGATTTGTTTCTGTATATGTTTAGAAATTTGGATTAAATGCATGTTCAACTGGAGCAATTGCATGTAAATCCACTCAAGCCCAGCTAAGCGTCAGTCACCCATAGAGAAGACTTTGTCTGCCTGTTAGATGTGAAATGGCTTTAGGTTAGTGTCTCTTTTAAGGGTTGCCTGCCCACATTGGTCATGTGCTTCAAATTTACTTCAGCAAAATATGTTTCTTTGTCATTCAGAAACCAAGTAACATGTGCTGTTTCATTTTCTCCTGCTGTTTCTATGTGGACTCACATAGAGTCAACAGTCCTGTGAGGAATCCCACATTGTATAAGGGTTGGCTCACTCCAGTTCCCTACATTTTGTGAATTCAGAGTTCTTAAAATCCCAGGACCTAGGTTACAAGGTTTACAAATGCTGTTTCAATGCTCACCCCAATGCTTGCTTCTTCCTAGTTTTAGGGCCCATGTAGATAATTCCCTAATTTTTAAGGGAATTACCTACATATTAGAAAGTTGCACTTTCCTAACTTAGTGAGATTTTCTTGATGTTTTGTGGTAGAAGTTTTTCAGGATGGGTATCCCGCAGTATAGCAAGTAAAGCCCTTTTCCTAGACGCCTTTATACTGGAATTTTACTCTTGTTACCACAATCTTAACGTTAAAGGTGCATTATTATTATTATTTTCGTTATAATTAGCTCCATGTTGATTTCTGAAAGAGCTGCACACATCCTCATGAAGTTTTTATTTCTTGTGTTTTCCTCATTTTGACATCTCATCAAAGGAATTTTTTTATGATAGCTCTTTGAAGGATACTAAATTCATCCTGGATAAATCTTCAAACATCCTAAATCAGATGAGACCTTTGTCCTCAGATGACAGTCTTCCCGCTGTCTCCTGCACATGGCCCCATAGGCTTACCCTTCTTATTATATTTTCCTTCCCTGACTTCCAAGCTGCTTTAGTTTTCTAATTTTTACCCTACAAATCTCAGTCCTCAACGACAACTGGCCACATCTACCTGCCTGCCTCTCAATCATTGTTCCCCATCAACCTTTCTTAGAGTCTCTCCTGTGTCTGCCAAGGATCCCTGCTATTTTAATGTTATCTATATTCTGCATGTCCGAGTACTGACCCCAAAGAGCAGCCCCTCCATCTCTCCCATTGACGTCTCACACCCAACAAGCATCATATGATCTTCATCTGACAACTCTAACAGTTTTTTTAGAACATCTGGTGTCAGGAATATGGAAGTATGTCCTCCTTTACTAGAATATCACAGCAGAAATGATCTATAGTTAAGATATGCCAGTGATACCAGAAAAGTCTCCAAATAACCCAGTCTTCTCACATTTAAATGTTAACAGTGAGTGATTTCACCCTTGAAGAAACATAGTGACATACTCTGAAGATATTTTTCATGTTGAAACTTATATTCTGAAAAGTCTTACTTTAGTCATTCTGGTAAAAGGGAAAACATCTTTTTCAATACTAAGGACTATATATATATATATATATATATATATATATATATATTGTGTGTGTGTATGTTTATGCACATTTAATGTGACTAATTTATGCTCATACCTGTTAAAAATTATATTCCTGTGTACTTTTTGAATATTTCACTTACTGAAATGAAATCTTTTTGTTTGTGTGTTTTTGCTAGATTTCCTTCTTTAATCGGATGTCATTGACAGGTCAGAAAATGATGCAGAATACTAGCGATCCACTTCCAGAAATAAAGCCGATAGGAGATCAAATAGCCTTACAAAATGATAAGAAAGATGCCAACCAGAATCACATGGGTCAAAATCTTCAGGATGCTGCAACACCAAATATGGAGGGAAAGTCCAAATCCTGTACAATACTATAAATGTATGTTTATGTTTCCGTGGTCACCGAGCACATTTGTTCTTCATACTTGAAAAATGTTATGACTTCTGAAGGAAATTTCCTGATAACACTGTTTTAAAAAAATGATAAAAATTAATGTTTGGCTTGGTTTGAGCAGTATGAACAGTTTTAATATTTATTTATGTTAATGTTCTCAGTAAGTAGTTTCCAAAATACTTGTACCTCCAACTCTCCTTGAAGTGTTTGGCCTTAACTGTTCAGTGTTGCATAAAACAATATATTTTTATATTTGAAAGCTGAATGAAGATATTTCATAGTTTTGCTAGCACAGTTATCATTCTTTGTAATTTCCTAAGCCAATGTTTATGATCTTACAACACTGGAACAGTTTTGAATATATTTACAACATTTAAAAACAGGCAAAATTGTGATGAGCTTAATTTAATAAATTATAACTGGTTGGGTTTGCTGTTAAAATGGATAAGGTACTTGGACTTATCAATAATGGGCAAAAAAATCTAATTTTGAATATCAGAGGAGGAGGATTGAGAGATGGGGCACTGGATGTGCTTACATAGGACTTGAATTTAGTTCCCAACCCCTATGTGGGGCTTACAACTGTCCATAACTCCAGTTCTAGGGGATCTGTGCTAGTAAGGCACATGGTTCACAGACATACATGTAGGCAAAACAATCTAAAGAAAATCTAAATTTTTAATCAAAGTGCACAAAATATCTTTAATCCTTAACAAAGATATGGATAATCTGTAAAATTTGACCTGCTACCAGTTGCCACCTTGAGACCCCAAAAGAGTCAGTCAGGATTGCTTGTTTCAGCTGTCTCTATCCATTTAATGACACGTACTGCCTCATGACCTGAGCATCATGAAGTGTGCAGGAATGATAGATATATCTACCAATATGCTCTGATGGAAGCTTTGCTTCCTTGCTCACACTTTATATTTCAAAATGGACCACACTCACTTTCCCTATCCTCCTTTGGAAATGAAACATGTCACTCTTTAGCCATAGTGATCATTGTCCCATTTAAACATTTTTACCTACAAGGGGAAAAAAAAAAAAAAAAAAAAAAAAACAGTGTTACGCCAGAGTAAATATGGTTTTAATATCTTAAAAATAGTTTTCTGAGTGAACATTATTCTTGGCAGATTTCTTATTTTAATAAAGGTAAATAGAGTTTCAAAGCTTGGGTTGTTGAAGCTAGAGTACCAGTACAATATTACAGAAGTATAAGAAACAAACTGTAAGGGCTAGGTGGAAGTAAAACTCAAAAATGCTACTAAACCATGCTATTTTGGGAAGTAGAATTCTAAGGTGACCCTGAGTTTCGTGTCGGTGTCACATGCCCAGAATAATCCCTTCCCTCTGAGTATGGACAAAACCAGTGACTGTGGTAGGATGTCACTCCCTTTTTTGTGTTACCGGAGTCTCTTAGAAAAATTTTGCAGATATAATGAAAATTCAGTCACTTGACCTTAAGTTAGACTTCCAAAAGGAGTCTATCACAGATGGCCCTGACCTAACCAGGTGAACCTCATCAAAGATTCTTGAAAGGTCCAACCAACATAGAAGCAGTCAGAACATTGAAAGCAGCAGAGACCCTGATGTCCTAGCAAATGCCGACTGCTGTGATTATGGAGAACACATTGTACCAGGGAGTAAAGGATAGCCCCGAGGATCTGAGGGCTTGCCCTATTGCAACAATTGGGAACTGAATTCTACCTACAACCAGTGAGCCTAGGAGAGGAACACAGTTCTCACACTTGATCCTAGCCCTGGCTGGCACACTGACTTCAGCCTTTTGTGAGAGACTATGAGCAGAAGACCCAGTGTAGCACTGCCCACACTCCTGACCATCTAAAGTCCTGAACCAATTGGTGCATGTCAGGAGTTTTCATGTACTACATTTATGGTGACTTTCCTTAAAATTGTTATAGCATTTACTCTCTCTCTCTCTCTCTCTCTCTCTCTCGTGTGTGTGTGTGTGTGTGTGTGTGTGTGTGTGTGTGTGTAAACTTAGAAAGGGCTAAACCATAGTTACATACCAAATTTGGTCAGTCAACTTGTGATCTGCTTTGGTTAGAGAAAATAAGTTTACAAGTAAATTGTGTTAAAATGATTAGGCCTTAATTTTATCTTGGATATAGCAATCACTAATTTGACATTAAATTTGAATCAAGAAGTTATAATTAAATAACCAGAAAACTTATGATTCACCTGCAATAATTTCAAGTTTTTCGATGCATAAAATACAAAGTTAACTTCGGGCCAGTCAGAACTTTTTATAGTGATACACTGCCTCCAGACTAAACAAAAGAAAGCAAATATAGAAGATACCCCCATAAAATCTCACCAATATCATCGTAAAAATGTGAGCTGAACAAAGATGGCATCAATGACTATGCCAAACTGTATAGGGGAAAAATGTCCATGAGGCCTCAAATCTATACAAAATACTATAGGTGACTGAGGAAAGCTGGGAGGAGAAGAGCTGGCTTTCCCCAGGGAAGAGCATACCAACTGATTCATCAGTAAGTGCCAAGTAATTTGCCCTGAAAACATACATACAAGTAACATTATAGTAGCTTCATTCACAACCCTCAGACCCAGAAAGAACCCAACAACCTTCAACAGTGAATGGAGAGCAAAGTGTAGCAGGTCCATAGAACAGAGTACTTCACTGTAAAAAGACAGACACTCTTGATATATGTACCCACCCATTCGAGTGATTATGAAAAGTATGCTGGCCGAAAGAAATTTTGCCACGGGTTACTTCTTATATGACTCTGTTCCTGTGTCATCCCAAATACAAGACAATTGGAAACAAATCCATGAACAAGGAGGCGTGACTTCAAAGAGCACTGGACAGTATTTTGGTGAAACTGGTCCCTATTCCAATGTGGCTGGTTACTGTATGAAAATAAAATGTGTGCAGTTCATAAAACTGTAAAGCTAAACTGGTCCACTGCATTACATGTTGATTTGAAAACCCATAAAATAAATAAAACTTAAATAACTCAATTCAATAAAGTAAATAAAATGGATCCAAGGCAATGAGGTAAGAGCCATAAAACTCAAAGAAGTGGCAAACATCTATGCCTTGTTTGATTCTAATCCAGTAGGGCAAATGAAATCATTTAGAGAATATGTTCTTTGCATTAGCATCTTATGATGCAGCAATGTGACTAGAGCATCACCACAAGCTTCCAGAATGTTGTGTCTCACAAGCTGACTCCTACTAATAATTAAGGAAATGTCCACATTATTGTCCATAAATACACTTGTTGCATTAATGTATGTTTAAATGCTGTAACAAACTATTTCCAAATCTGAGTTGTTTAGCACTGTAAAATTTGAAATGTGAGATAATTCACCAAAGATAAGAGCATGGCCTTGTCATTAAGGAACCTGGACTCTAACCATCCAATAACTTTGGCATTTTCAATGGGCTTAATCTACAGGTCTGAAAGTAGCATGTGTACTTTTGTCCACATTCCATGGAAATCTGCTCAACATTCTGCATGGAAAATCGGAAAACTTAGGTTCATTTGTAAGTTCAGGAAGACAAAAAAATTGTCATAAACATTCTTATTCTATGTGCCAATGAAAAGTGAATCTATGTGCTTTCACAATAAGCTGAATAAAGTCAAAATTCTCACTATATAAAAACTTATGATATAAACTTCATTTTATGTGACAAAACATATGATAGTTAATTTCCAAAGCATAATTGTATTGTTTTGGTTTTCTCAAATTTAATTCTGGGAAATGGCTGTAGACTTATTCCCACCCTCAAGCAAGGATGGCCATCATTGTGTACAGTGTGCCTTTCATTGGCTACTTCCTACTTGACCATGTGTTGTTCTAGAAGCTTGTTTATACATATATATATATACACATTTATACATATACATACATACATACGTGTGTGTGTGTGTGTGTGTGTGTGTGTGTGTGTGTGTGTGGCTCTTGTCTGACTGGTGTCTTATCTGTAATAAGAAAGCCACTCTTGGGGCAAGCCTTGACCTAGAAAGTGTTGGTGTGTGGCCTAATGAAGCACAGAAAAGGCAACATGACAAAGCAGGTGCACACATACTGACCCTACAGAGAAGAGGGTGGCACACCCACCATGGCAATGGGGGGGGCATTCAAGGCATGTGTTTTGCCAGCAAGGAGTGAGAGTCAAAGGACCCTAAGGACCACAGCCTTTATTGGGATCTAGGACATGATCACCAATGCAGCTTTCCCAAAGAGAATGTAATGGGTGAGGGTGAAGAGACTCAAATTCTTTGGAGTCCCACAGTGGCTGAGCTGACCCCTGTAGCCTGTCTTCACTGTTCCTGTAGGGTGTGTGTGTGTTAATAGAGCCATTCAGCAGCTGTATCTAGATGCCTCAAAACAATAGCTGTGTAAGCAGATATCCCATGGAGTCACCTCATGGAGCTCGATGAGGTAGACTGGAAACTTGAGATTGTGAGGTCTGAAGCCTACTAATATAACCGCTGATTATTTCCTAGTACTCAAGTGAAATCTTTTACCTGGAAGGGTTGTTTGTTTTTCTAGCTGTTTTGCCCCAGGGTAGTCAATGAATCAATATCCCCGCACTGAAAAATATCCAGCATGTGGTTGATAGGATGAGCCTCTCGGTAATACCCAAAGAAAATTTTTTGGGTATCCTTCTCCACTCTCTCCTGAACACCATAAAACCAATTGTTTGGCTTCTATGGGAAATGTGAAGAACATGCTGGGAGCAGATGTGAGAAGATGGCTGAGCTCCACCAAGGAAGAGAGAGAATAATAGGAATTTTCTAGTCTTTGATCATTAGAAGACCCTGTGGCTCCCCTTGACTTTAACAAAGAGAATTTGTATTGATTTGAAAACAGAGTTTAGATGTGTAGCCCTGGTTGAAGGAAAGCATGCTCCACCCCCAATTTGCTCAGTTCCTTTATCGGACTTGGGGAACGACTTTCAACATGTCTCATTGGCAAAAACATGGTAATATTCCTACAGGGGAAGCCAGAAACTGGTGTCTTTTGTCTTATAAGTATTATCCCTAATAAAAAATCAGGGCTTTGTGTATTTATTTACTGTCAGAAATCAAAACCACTGCCTGTGCATGTACTCTACCACTGAGCTGCACAGCTAACCCCTTAAGACTGGTTAAACTGATATCTTCGTCTTACTCATCTTTCAGTTAAAACAAAAAAATCCACACACCTATTATTCCTGCACCCTGGATACCAAGACAAAAGGATTGTTAATGCAAAACAAGCGTCTGGGTCATACATCAAGACCTTGGCAAAAAGAAAAAATCCTCATTGGTCTGATTTAAACCAAAAGTTAGAGAAAGAATGAGGAAGAGGGAATATTTGTTCCTACAGGCATTTTAGTCATGAAAGGTCTCCTTTCAAACAACTAAGGAGTGATGAAATCCATGGTTATCACTTCCTAAA